CAAGATCACAGGGCAGAGGTTTGTATCGGGCCCATGTTCTCTAAAGAGTTTGTGTTTTCTTCTAGATCGCCAAATAATTTCAGCAACAGGCCAAAGGTGGGTGGAATGGCCTGGGGTTGGAAAGGGGAGCAAGGGGACTAGGGTGGCTGAAATCCAGGGTGAAGGGAAAGCCCAAGCTGAGGCTGAGCTCAGCAGTCTAAGGAGGCCTGGCCCAAAGCCAAAGCAGAGGACTGGGGCATGGGCTCAGCCTTCTTTTGATGTTAGGGTCTCCATTTGCTTCTGGGATGATGGAGGCCTAGTTTGAAGGTTGGAGCACAGGAAGCAGGCAAGGACGATGTGGGTGGGTTGGAGATTTAAGACACCAGGGAACAATGAGGAACAGTGAAAAGCAACCCCCTGAAGTCATAACAAAGGAAAGTGGCAGAGCGTTGGGGGGGGGGGGGAAGGAGCCCTCTCTTGCATACCCCCAGAAGACTTGAGGTTGAGCACAGGCTGGTCAAGGCACAAAAGAGTTCTTGTTGGGCTGGAAGGAGGACAAACTAGCTCAGCGGGAAGAGGGGCCCAGATAGTCATCAGGCTGAGGACACAAAGCCAGGCCGGTCTGGCTGCTCAGAACCATGGCCAAGCCCACTCCTGCCCATTCCACTCTCTCCTACCATGTCCCTGGCCTATGCCTGCTGTAAGCAGGGTGTGCAAAGAGCAGGTATCTTTCTGCCCACCTGGCCAGAGAGGACATGGATACCCAGTGTGGTATCTGCATCCTCTTCTCTGTGTCTAGAGTACCTGATCTATCACCCTGTCTTCTGGGTAGGTGGGCATGGCAGCTGAGCAAAGGAAGCAAGCTTCCCACCCTCCACCACACCAGCCAGGCTAGTCCTACCCCCTCCCTCCCTTCTCCCTATTCCCAGAAACAAAGGATAGTCATGGTGCCTCAGGCAGAGCAGCCTTGTGTTCTCTTGGTGAGTTCTCTGTAAATTGACTTCTCTGAAGAGTGTTAGAGACCAGGGGACAGAAAGGGGTTCACCCCAATCCTGAGGCTCCTTCCCCTAGTCAGCATTCACAGAGAAAACACACACACACACACACACTATCCAACTCACTCTGGCTTCAAGGCCATTAACAGAACAGCAATTCTACAGAGATGTGGGGTAGGTGCTGAGCACTGGTCTGTGGCCAAGGCTGGAGGCTGAAACGGTTGTAGACAGTCCAAGCAGAGCTCAGATGGTGTGAAGGAGGGTGTTGAAGAGCCTCAGGGGTGTCTGGTCCCCACTTCCAGCTACAGGACACAAACACTTCCTGGGACACCCTAATGTTCTTGGGAACGCCCCTCTGGCGAGGAGGCTGAGCAGATGAAATAGTGGTGATTTTGTTCCACTTGCCTACCCTGGGCACAGCTAGGCCAAGGGAGACCTCTACCTCCTTCTAGTCTCCCTAACAGGTACTTTGCAGGCCCTTCAGGCTACCCTGGGCTCTGAGGGCAAGGCAAAAAAAAAAAAAAAAACACTTAGTATTACCTTTCTCCTCTCTATAAAATCAAACCCACCTTCATTCAATACATGCTAACACAGGCTCATTCTGTACAAGAGGACCCTGCTTAGAATGATACAGGAGCTACATTTAATACCATAGAACCATCAGGGCTAGGGCAGCCAGAGGAGACCTCCTTACTTTGCAAGTGTGGCCTGGGCTTGGAGGTGGCACACCTAGGAATGGTCACTGAGACCCTACCCAACAAGCTGTTGGTGGCGGCGATTACATACAATACCAGACATATAGTTTCTGACAGGTCTCTTTCATGGATGAATCACTGGCCTGATTCCAGACGTGCCTCCCTTCCAAGGCTGTAGGAAAGATTGGTTGAGCTACCTAGCATATTAGCACAAATGTGCCATGATTCAGGTCAAGATGGCGTGGAGAGGAATTTGTTTCTGTGTGATTTTTTTTTGGGTGTGTGTACATGTGTATGGTGCACTGGTGTGTATGGGTATACGTGTGTATGGGTACACGTGTGTACGGGAACATGTGTACACACACATGTGGAGGCCAGAGGTCAAACCCAGGTGTCCTTCTCAGGAGCTGTCTACCTTACTTGTTGAGATAGGATCTCTCACTGGGACTTGAGAGAGTGGACCATGCTAAGATGGCTAGACAGTGAGCCCCAGGCACCAACCTATCTCCACATCCCTAGTGCAGGGTCTACAAGTGCATGCCATCATATTGAGCTTTCGTGTGTGTCTGTGTATGTGTGTTTAATTTATTAACCCCTCTGAATACTGCAAGCCAGAATTGGGAATGAAACACAGCCTCTACTCCCAGTTCCATCCAGATACCAGGCAGTGTCTCATCTTCCTATTCCCTTTCTCCCCAGCCTGTTTTCTCTTCTAGAGCTTGGTCCCCTAAAACCACCAGGGTGCTTTGTGGTGGGAAATGGCAGACAACAAACCAAAGGACTGAAAGAAAAATAAAAGGAAAAACAAAGTTGACACTTCTAGGTAGTTGTGTTATCCAGAAGTCACCTCTGCCCCCAAGCCAACTCCTTGGCTCCCATCTTGGGAAAGTCGTAGAGCTTTCCTATACTCCACTGCCCACTAATCGCTGATCAACAAGCAAAAGGCACAAGCTGCACTGGGTAAAATGGGTAAAGTCTCTTGCCACTCATGTAAGGTTAACAGAGAGGCTTTATTCCATGTTGTTGTCACCTTACCTCCCCACAAGTGCCACAGTGTATGCACACACAATAATGGCAAGAAAGTGGTGGCACACACCTTTAATTCCAGCACTCAGGAGACAGAAACAGATGGATCGAGGCCAGCCTAGTCTACAGAACAAGTTCCAGGACAGCTAAGACAAGACTACACTTTGTCTCAAAAAAAAAAAAAAAAAAAAAGCAAAAGGTGTGGGGGGATGTTTAAAGAGGAGAGGGCTAGAGTAGAGGCCAGCTGGGGAATGACCTGTGAGCCCTGGTTGGGTCTGGGGACACGAGTGGGCTCTGAAGACTCTTCTACTCCTAGGTTTGCTTGCTGACATCGCCATCCTAGTGTTCTAGGACACAGGCCTAGCCATCTTCCCAGCACGCCAAGCCCACCCAGCCAGGTGTTTGGTAGGAGAAGCAGACTTCTGCAGGTCCTAGGAGAAGGGTCTGGAGAAGCTGATGCCTGGAAGTGGGTGGGCAGCTCTGTACTACAGGCTCTCAGGTGTCCAGACAGAGGTCATGACCAGCGTGGTTTTCTGCCTACAGAGTTAGCTCAGAGAACTTGGGAAACCTAAGGAATTAGATGGATCTGCTTCACTCACTTCCATACTTGTGTGCTGTGAAAGACTGATGGGCACAGGTGTCAAATGGGGTCCCTAGATCATGGGACAGTGCGTTTGGATCTGCTACTGATGGGCTTCAAGACTCTGGCCAAGTCATTTCCCCTGACTGGCCTTTTATTCCCATTGGTAAAATCACTTTCATGGTCACTGCCAGCATTGCCCATTGATGCTCATCTGGAGCTTCAGGCATAATTGGCTCCCATTCCAACCCACTGGACAGAGGGGAGGAGGAAGAGGGGAGAAAGGACTACGCTTCCTCCTCCAGAGCCCCTCGCCCTACCTGGTCCCTGCAGAGCATCTGAGAAGCAAGGTTCCCCCATCTTCCTTACACCCCCCCAAGTTTTCAATTCCTTTCCTCGTGACCCCGCCAAGTAGTCACTGTGACCACACACAGGGGTGGGGAGAACCCAGACATTTCAACTTCTGCAGAAAAACTTCAGGTTTCCCCTTCTAAAGTAAAGAGAATAAAACTGGGGAGAATAAAGACCTTAAAAGCCAGAAAGAGGGATCAGGAACCAGGAATGCAGAGAAAAGATACAAGAAGGAATTAGTGAGAGAGAAAGCCAATGAGAAAGATCCCCCCAGGCAACTGGGTATTGGCCCAGATGGGCTGTGAGGCAGCCAGGCTGGCCCCTCCTTTGGTACTGCCCATGCCAGCTGCCAGGCAGAGAGGAGTCCCAGAGGAGAGGGAAGCTGGGCAAAGGGGATGGCAGACTTCCAACCTGGCCTTGTCCAACCCTTGGTCCTTGAGGGGGAACTCTTAGAGATGGGGACTCTGATCCAGGCAAAGCTCCAGGGTGCAGGTTTGCTGCCATGGCAAAGTCTGTAGGCAGATGTGAAGTTGAGAAATGAAAAATACCCCTTTCTGGGCACTTTTTTTTTTCAAGGTAGAACCAACTTCAGTTGGGGCGCCTCCTAGGTGACAGAGGGAATGACTAGTTTATGGGCCACAGACAGCTGATGAGGCCGTGATGTGACCACAGTGTGGCCCTGGGCAGACCCCTTCTCTTCTCTGGATTGACATTTCTTACCTGCAAAGGTCGGAAAGGGGGTGGAAAGTTGAAGCATATAGTTGCCGAGGTCTTTCTTGGTCCTGCTTTAAGGGGGAAGGTCACATGGTGGGAGTCATGCAAGGAGAGAAGTGGGGAGACCTTAGAGGTGGGCTTGGCTTTTCTGGAATCCCCAGTTTCTCTAAAGTTTCTCTACAGGGTCATGGAAGCCACACCTACCACACCTGCTGAGCGTGCAAACACACACACACATACACACACACACACACACACACACACACCAGCATGCACTCACTCATCCAATATCATCCAATACTTTTACAGACAGAGAAGGTGACGGCAGAGGTAGTTAGCATCCACAGGTAGTCTTTTTCTTCCCCCTCGTACTCTACACCCACCCCCACCACACCCCCCCCACCCCCAGTTAACGGAGGGTAACAACTGAGGCCCTAGTTTGGGATTTCCAGAGTTCGGGACTTCCCGACACCCTCGGCTGCTCCAGCTCAGCTGTCCCAGGACATTTCCCACCCCCACCCCCACTCTCGGAGGCGCAAGGGAGCACAGACCGGGGCTCCCGAGGGACCCCCCCCGACGGGGAGGTCCTTTGCACGGCGCCGCCCAGCTGGGTGGTCCGTCGGGTCTCCCCCCACCCCCCCGTAGTTGCAGTGCAGTCGCTGGGGAGCCGGCGATCGAGGGCGGAGGCAAGGAGGGAGCGACGGCCGCTGGGAGGGGTGCTGGCGCGAGCTCGCGCGCTGTGTATGGTCTATCGCAGGCAGCTGACCTTTGAGGAGGAAATCGCTGCTCTCTGCTCCTTCCTGTAGTAACAGCCGCCACCGCCGCCGCCGTCAAGAGCCGTCAGGAACCGTCAGGAGCCCGGGCCGGGAGCGACAGCCTCAGGCGTTCCGCAGCACCAGGTGGGTGAGTCGGCGTGGCGTCGCCCTTGACTCGTGGATAGGGAATTTAGGCTGCAGTCGCGTCCCTGGGACCCAGCACCTTAGAGTCCCCTCCGGCCTGACACGGGACAAGCATCGGTCTGGGCTTCGAGTGGGAGCTTCAGAGGGATCAGGGACAAGGAACCCGTGCAGGGGGCAGCCAGAGGTGGACGCACGCTGTGACACCGACGCTGTCAGGCTCCACCTGGAGCGGTCAGACACTGGAGTGTAGCCCGGGGCTGCTCTAAAGACAGTCGATCTCTTAGTCCTCTCTCCCTGACAGCCCCAGACACGTGCCTGAGGAGACTTGGACCTCGAGTGGCGATCACTGCATTGCCCTAACTTTTGGGTTGGAATAGCTTCCCTTCCCAGAAATCGGGAGTGTGGGTCCTAGGCTGGGTGGGAAGAATTTTTGCAGTAGTTTCTAGTCGGGGGGGAGGGGGTGACTGTGGGCCTCTGTCTCTTAAGTTTCTCTTTCGATTTGTAGACCCCTTTAATTTGGGGATGACACGTTGGGACAAGGGGACAGGAAGAGAGGAGGGCATCTGCCTGCCCAGATCTCCACCCCCAGCCTGGAGGGTTCCTTGTTGGAAGGGAAGGGTAGCCATCTCTCTTCCCGCACAGGAAAGCGTGCCTGGGGTGAGGGGAGGAGCCTTGGCCTCACCGCAGTTCTTAGGTCCTTTGGTGGCACTTCAGGACACCGGCAGGCCAGAAAGAAACCTCTGCAAAACAAATGGCTTACCTTCTCCCCTAGGTGAACAGCCATGGCGGGCTGGATTCAGGCCCAGCAGCTGCAGGGAGATGCTCTGCGCCAGATGCAAGTGCTGTATGGGCAGCATTTCCCCATCGAGGTCCGGCACTACTTGGCCCAGTGGATCGAGAGTCAGCCCTGGTAGGTGTCCCATGTCCTGAACCTTCACCTTCAGTGTGGGTCTCTACTATCCAGGCCAAAGGGTCTCCTCTTTGTGGTTTGGTATGACTCTGATTCTATCAGTCCTTGTGCGGAAGGGGTGGTGTCCCCGGGGAAAAGGGAAGAGGGCAGTGGGAACTACCGAGGGGAGAATTTCTAGACTTTGATGCACAGCCTCCAGGAGCAAATTTTGTGGGACTGAAACGCCCCGAATCGCTCTTGGTGTTTGATCTCCTTGGTACAGTTTTTCTCTCTTTGTGTTGTCCCAAGGGATGCCATTGACTTGGACAATCCCCAGGACCGAGGCCAGGCCACCCAGCTCCTGGAGGGCCTGGTGCAGGAGCTGCAGAAGAAGGCAGAGCACCAGGTGGGCGAAGATGGGTTTCTGCTGAAGATCAAGCTGGGGCACTATGCCACACAGCTCCAGGTGGGTGTGAATGCCTTCCTTCTGAAGGAAGCCCCCCCCCCTTAAGCTTTCTCTTCCAACATCAGAACCCCTGGGAGTTTTCCTGGCTTGGCCACTGAGTCACCATGTGACCAAAAGCTTACTGGCAACTTTTTTTCAATTTCCCCCACCCCCTCTCTCTAAGTCAGACCTGTGAGATTCTTTTAACATTATTACAAAGCAAAGGGTGGGAGGGGAGGAGGGAGGAGGGAGGTTGCTTCCAGCAAAGGGGGCGGAGTGGGTGAAGCAGCAGTTTGGACAGATCAAGCTGTAGAGATGGAAAGCAAATGGAGTCAGGTAGACTGCTTTCTTAACAGAGAAAGGAAGGAAAACTGGCATAGTCTAGAAATGAGGGGACAAGGCAAACAGACATTCCCCTGGGACTCGTTTAGAGGCAAGAGAGCTGCTGAAGAGAAGTAGAAATTTCCCTGGAGCAAGAGTGGGATAAAAAGCTTTGAATGAAAGAAAAAGTGGCCTCCCCTTTCCATGGAGGAGGGCAGGGATTTTATGGAAGCAGGAAAGGGGTGTGGGTGGTATTCATGGTCAAGCATTTATCGGAACTCACTTGTATTTCTTAGAGAACCCCTCTTACATCCAAACAGCAGGGTGCTGGGGAAATAAAAACTCATCCCAGAAAAAGGAAGAGACAGCAGAATCCTGAGGGGAAGCAAAATAAGAACCTGGGGTCTGGCGTCTAATGGAAAGTACCTTGATGTTGGCATCAGGCACTCCAGTCTTGACCTCTCTCTCTCTCTCTCCCTCTCTCTCTCTCTCTCTCTCTCTCTCTCTCTCTCTCTCTCTCTCACACACACACACACACACACACACACGTCTCAGGATGCATGCCTAATCTATCTGGACATCAATTTTCCCATCCATGACATGAGAACTGTTTGAGTTTCTGTCATAGGATTCTCATGCTTCAGAGAGTAAAAGCTGGTGGGGAGGTTGGATGAGCTTTCTGTTAGACTGTGAGTTTCTAAGTCACTATAAACTGAGTACGAAGTTCTGGGAGGGGAAGAAGGGCAAAGGAGAGTTGGGGGTGTCTGATAATTCACGGGGCTTCCTGGGAAAAGCTGAGGCTGAGGGAGAGGAAGGGATGGACATGGTAAGGAAGTCAGCGTGGTCAGAACTAGGTGGCCATTGGTGGTTCCTGTTGTCTCCTTTCAGAACACCTATGACCGCTGCCCCATGGAGCTGGTTCGCTGTATCCGCCACATTCTGTACAATGAACAGAGGCTGGTCCGGGAAGCCAACAACGTGAGTGTCTATAGGCATAGGAGAAAAGTTAGGGAGCAATCCACATGACTTCCTCTCTAGATCCCTCCATGTTTATGTAACATGGCTATATGGAGAGCACAAAAGAAATAAAACACAGTGCAAGAGGCGGTATATTTCAGACTGTAGCTAGAGTGACCCCCTGGGGCTAGTCCCTGGCTATACACCTCTATTTCTTCTTTTCTTTCATTTCCTTCCCTTTCTCCTCCTTTCTTAAAAAAACAAGACATCTTATTTTCAACTGTGTGTGTACAAGTGTGCAGGCGTCCTTGGAAACCAGAGGCATCAGATCCCCTGGAGTTCTAGGCAGTTGTGGATGTCTGATATGGGCACTAGGAACCAAATATGGATCCACTGCAAGCACAGTATACATGCTTTTCACCACTAAACCATCTCTCCAGCCTCTCTTTCATTTCCCCCTTTATTTTCTCCCTTCTTTCTTTCCTGACTTCTAACAGTGAAATCCAGGGTGTTGAACATGCTAAGCAAGTGCTCTCAAGATATATCCCCAGCTCCCACTGTTGTAAAATGGGGATAGTAATAGTACTTGCATTATAAGGTCATCGTGAGGATTAAATGAAACCAAATGCAGGCTAAGGATGGACAAGAAAAGGAAATTTTAAACATATACTCAAAGAAATCTTTAAAATAAAGTTTGGGGTGTTTTGTTTTGTTTGTTTGTTTGTTTGCCGGGGGTTGTGTCATATAACTTTAATCCCAACATTTGGGAGTCAGAGGCAGGCAGATTTGTGAGTTCAAGGACAGCCTGGTTTACAGAGTTCCCAACAGTCAGGGTACACAAAGATACCTGATCTCGAAAAACCAACAACTACATAAATATTTAAAAATAATAGCCAAGCGGTGGTGCACATCTTTAATCCCAGCACTCAGGAGACAGAGGCAGGCAGATCTCTGTGAGTTCCAGGCCAGCCTGGTCTACATTCAAGTGCCAGGACAGGCTCCAAAGCTACACAGAGAAACCCTGTCTTAAAAAAAAAAAACAAATAAATAATATAGACATGAAATAAAAATTAAAACAGAGCAGTTTCCACCTAGAAGGAGTCCCAGCATAGACCAGACTGAATACACTGAGTGCTATAGAGAATGTACAGGGCAGCTGACAGGGTGTGTCCTAAGGGGGCAGAGGAGAAAAGAAGCAAGGAAGACATCTGTATCCCCCAAAAAAACAACAGCATATGTTGGGGCAGGAAGGTGTTGGTGATGCCTTATAGTTGGAGACTTTGCAAGTTGTTAATGCCACTGGGGAGTGGAGAACAACCAAATGGGGTGTACCAATGGACAAGGAAGGAGTCAGGAACCAGGCACTGCATCTTCCAGATGCCCAATATCGCATCCTTGAATTGTTGAAACTGCCCACACGAAAGAATCGAGCTGGGTCAGAAACACGCATCCACAATATGGGGTTGAAGTACTTATCTCAGGAGGATCTGCTGCCAGAGTGCTCCAGGCTGATGCAACCTCAAGCGCAAAGGCCCGGAGGCAGGCACACACCGTGATGAGGGAGCAGATGTAGAAAGTACATGTACCTGCTGTGCTTTGGCCGCAGGGAAACTAGGAGGACACAGGCAGAGGCCACCTGCCAGGCTGACGGAAGGAGTTTGGATTTTATTTTAAGAACTCTCAGTTGGAAAGTCCCCAACCACATGGTCCCTTCTGAACCAGATGTTCTAGGAATGTCGAGATTCAAAGAGGCATTCTTGATGTCTCTCCTGCACTTATCCTCTCATGAGAGGTTTGCTTCTTCCCTCCCTCCAGGTGTGAGTGAGGACACAAAGGCTATGTGGGTCCATGGGCCCCGTCTCCTTCTGTGTCCCCAGCACTTAGCACAGTCAGTGATATTGGGTCAGTAGATAACAATGGAACGAGGAGGTGCAGCATCCTTGGGAGGAAGATCATCCATCCACGTGACACCTGCCAGGGTTCAGTTCTAGTTTCTCTGAAGGAAATCTGATGGGCTCTTTCAACATTCTCAAGTGTAAAACCAGATCTGAAACAGAAATGTCTGCCTCCATTATTTTCCAGGCCACTCATTTCCCTCCTCTCTTCCTTTTCTTGGATTGCAGTGTGGACTGTCCTCTGGTCTTCCTTCTAAGCCTAGTTTGGAGTTTGGGGTGTCTAGCGCTCCCCACAGATTCAGGTTCTCTCCTCTCTTTTCTGCCTGGCACACTGCTCCTGTCACTTCCTCTCAATCTATTCTGTCCCCAGTGTAGCTCCCCTGCTGGTGCCCTGGTTGATACCATGTCCCAGAAGCACCTTCAGATCAACCAGACGTTTGAGGAGCTGCGCCTGATCACACAGGACACGGAGAATGAGCTGAAGAAGCTGCAGCAGACCCAAGAGTACTTCATCATCCAGTATCAGGAGAGCTTGCGGATCCAAGGTGAGGCCTGCCTGCATCATGGTCCAGGATGCCATGAGCATCTTGTGGGTGGAAGGGAGAAGGGTTTTGTGATCTCCAGTAGGAGGGGAGGCTCGCCATCCCTAGAGCACTTTGCCCAAAGCTTCATAAGAATCATCATGACTTGCAGGGGCTTTGAGCCTCTGCTGTGATCTTGGCTCTAGGCTAAGCCCTTGGCATATATGATATCAGACAACCTCATGAGGGCATAGCTTGGTGTCCCTGTTTTGCAAGGGAAGTTTATAGAGAACAAATAACTTGGCCTAGGCTGCCTATAAATGGCAGAGTCAGAGCTTAGTTAGAGAGAGTTCATAAAACCCCTGCATCCTCCTAAGCAGGAGACTCCCACTAGTCTAAGGCAGTCAGTGAAATGTGAGTGAATAAAAGGACAAGGACCAAGGATGCCCCAACCAGAAGGAGCACTTGGCATGGAGTCCACTGGTTGAGAAGGCTGAGAAGAGCTAGAATACAAACTTTGCCCCTAGTTGGGACTCTAAGGGGACCAGGTCCTGGAGGCAAGGTGGCTGTAGAACTGCTGTCTCCCAGCTCTGTAATTTGTCAATGGCTACCACAATTAGGGTGTGGGGAAAGAAGAATTATCTCAGAAGGAAGTAGCTCCAGGTACAGTTTGAGCTGTCTGGAGACTGACCCTAGATATAGGCTGACTCCACTGCTCCATCTAGAACAGGCAGGGCCATACTGCCTTTTCCTGTGCCCTTATCCTTGTTTCTTAGAGACTTAGATATCAATTTTAGTCCTTTTGTATGTATTGAGATTTATGAATGTACACTCAAAAGCCAACTACATATACTTACATATACTTGTCAATATAAAATATTTTATCAGTCCCAGAAATTGTAGGAAAGAGTGACTTTTATTTGGTTGAGACAGGTCTTGCTGTGTAGCCCTGGCTGACCTGGACCTCACCCTGTAGACCAGGCTGAACTTCAAAATCATAGCGATCTACCTGCTTGCCTCTGCCTCCTAAGTGCTGAGATTTAAAAGCATGGAAAGGGTACACTTTATGCTCTCTCTATGTATATTTGTCAAAGTTATAAATCTTCCTCTACAAACTGCTTTATAGTAACCCATGCTGCTGAAGATGCCGTGTGTTCATAGTGTTCTCTTTGAAGTATCTCTAATCTCTTCCCTGATTAATCCCATCACCTGTGTTTGGTTTGGAAACGCTTTGTTTGATTTCCATCTGTCTGCTATGTTTAGATATCGCACTTTTACGGGCTTTGATGCTATCTTTTCATTGGGCTCTACTGTGACTAGAGAACATGTCCTGTATGTTCTTGGAACTTACAAACTTATTGAGACTTTGTTATGGCCCAGTATATGCTCTGTCTTGGCGGATCCATCTTGTATGCTTGAAAAGAGTGTGTCTTCTATGGCTGTCTCTTTAAATAGCCACAACAAATTCAATAGTGTTAACAGAAAAGGAAAATAAAGGAAAAAATACTCTGTAATATATTTTTGCAAAGCCTAGTTTAGTGAGTAGAACAGGAATGGCTTTCATATAAGCATGAGCTGTATGACTATGCGCTGGCCAACAATGGAACATGGTTATGGTGTTACATACCACATAGCCTAAGTATGTAGTAAGCCATGACATCTAGCTTTTGAAGTATTCTGATATCTACACAATGACAAATCCCCCAGTGATGCATTTCTCAGAACTTATCCACAACCTTAAGCGACTCATGACTCTATTTGCAAATGTCTTTCGTATGAACCTTGATAAAAGATAGCTGTCTGTTACTTTCAGTCTGTGGGGGTGTCATGTAGGCTCTGGAAGATTTCACTGTACACTTGTTAGCTATCAAGAGTGAAGGCTCAGAGCTGGGGATGTAGCTCAGTGAGTTTAGTAAGGTGCTTGCCTAGAATGATGAGGTCCTGGGTTCAGTTTGTATAAATTGAATGTGGTGGCCCATACCTGTAATTCCAGTCACTGGGTGGTGGGGACAGAAGGGTCAGAGGTTCAAGGTCTCCCTCATAGAAAGTTCAGGGCCATCCTGGGTTAATTACATCCTGTTTCAAAAACAAAAAGGATAGAAGACTCAGGTGTGGTGGTGCCTCCCTATAATCTCAGCATTGGAGTTGGAGAAGGGCTTGAGGCAAGAGGATGGGGAATTTAAAGCCAGCCTGGGCTATATAGTGAAACCACATCCCCCACTCAAAAAAAAAAAAAAAACCATGGCAGGGTAAATATGACCAAAATATATTATATACTTGTGTAAAATTATCAAAGAGAAAATCAAAATTATTTTGAAACAAGAAAATTAAAAAGCCGTTATTACTACCAATTACAAAGTTACCAGTTAAAACCTAAGATTTATTTGCAACGATTTTGCCCCTAGGGCATATAACATTGATAATGTATAGGGAGAAAACATCAAACATTTTGTGAACAAATTATTTTTTTTGGTTGTATTGTTATATTTTCAATATACTATGCAATTTTACCAGTCAAAACGTTTCAAACAAAAGACAAAGTAAAAGCTATGGCAAGGCAATTAAAGTCTTCTGATTTTATGAAAAGTGACTTCCATTTGTGGGTCTTTCTGAGGGTCTCAGATACTCACCAGGGGTTTCTTAGATTTCTCTTTGAGAACCATTGGTCTTGGTCTTTTGATTTTTAAAAGAAAATACATTTACTTACTTATTGTGTGTGTTCATGCATGCATGTGTACATGTTTGTGGGCATATGTACATCACTGCAGGTCGGAGAATTGTTTGTGGGAGCTGGCTCTCTTCTTCTCTAACAATCCACCTCCCCAGATTGATCATTTTTTTTTTAGCTGATTGATCAGCTACTAAGAGAGAGGTATCAAAACACCCTGCCATGATTATGCAATTGTTTACTTCTGTAACGATTTTTGTAGCATTTCCTTTATGAATTTTGAAATTGTTAATCAATGTACATATGGTTAGAATGCTTTTATGATCATTCAGTGATTAGTATGAATTTCTGGTCAGTTGCCAATCATTCTGATGTTTCTGAAATGTTTTTCTTTTTTTAGGCTTTTGAGACAGGTTTGTGCTCTATAGCACAGGTTGGCTTTGAACTCATGATCCTCCTGTCTTAACCTTCCAAGAACCTGGATTGCAAATGTGCGTTGTCATGCTCATTTCTTTCTTTCTTTTGGTAATTATTATTTTTATTCATGTATGTGTGTGTCTGTGCAAGCTGAAAGTACAGGCAGTTGTGAGCTAGAACATGGGTTTTGGTAATCAAATTGGGGTCCTCTGGAAAAACAGTAAGAGCTCTTTGCTTTTTTTGTTGTTGTTGTTTGTTTGTTTGTTTGTTTTGGTTTTTCAAGACAGAGTTTCTTTGTATTGCTTTGGAGCCTGCCCTGGAACTGGCTCTGTAGACCATGCTGACCATGAACTCACAGAGATCTGCCTGCCCCTGCCTCCCAAGTGCTGGGATTAAAGGCACCACATATGCTCATTCTTAAATTTCCTTTTTTTTTTTTCTTTTTTTTTTTTACTTCTTTTTCTCCTCTCTGTGTGTGCATGTGTGCCTGTAAGCACTGGTACCCTGTGCATTTCTGCATGCGGAGATCAGAGGTTGCTATCAAGCATCCTTCTCAGTTTCTCTCCACTGTCATTTGGAGCTCTGAGCTTCAGAGAGACATGCTCCTTCACCCACCTCCCACTCGATGACACTGGGGTTTCAGATGAGTACCCTCATTCTGGGCTTTTATTACATGGGTGCTGGGGATGCAAACTCAAGTCCTTATGTTTGCAAGTAAACACTTGACTCACTGAGCTATTTCACTGGCCCCTTAGCCATGCTTTTAAAAAATTTATAATATATCAAGACTAGTTGTAACATAAAAAGGTTTTATAATGTCGGCAGCGTGCTATTGAGTTTTGCTTTGTATTTTTCCCTTTTTATTTTTAAACTCAGGCAGGTCTCAGCCTTGCTATGTAACTGACAATGACCTTGAATTCCTGGTTTTCCAGCCTCAACCTCCCTAGTGCTGGGATTACAGGCATGTAGTGCCAGCTACTGACAATCCATTTTTAATTGAGCTGTTTCCATTGCCTGTGTACAGATCTAGCTTTGGACTTTGGGTGAGGTTTGCATCCATACGTATGTGGTATCAGTTTGTCTTGTTTATCCTGCTCAGTACTGTAAACACAGAAGGTTGGAAATGTAGTTCAGTAAAAGAACATTCGGCTGGCATGTACAGAACCCTGAATTTGATCTCTAGGGTTACACAAAACACAAAGTACTGGTCTGTTTGCCGAAGGGAAGACCCATTTCCTTCAGTAGAGCCAATAGTTGTCATGGATCTTTTGGCTTCTGTCCCAGAACCCTGTGCGAATGGCCAGGAGAGACCTACATGGAACCTTGAAGGGGAATCTGGGCCAGGGTACTGCCCCTGCTGTCTTCCGCAGGTTGTTGTGAATCTGGACAGTACCCCTCCTGCCTGCCACATTGCAGGAAGGTGGGAACCATATTCCTAAAGTCTAGTTGTGGGCTTGCCCTGGCTGTCTAATGTTGCTTTTGTTTATCCCAGCTTGAGTGTCCCTGGGGCAAGGACCAGGTCAGTGTGACATGGTTCTGAGAGGCCAGCCATGAACTTGAATGAGACCTGCCAGCGTGCACAAACTCTTGACTAGACCTGAGTAAGAATTCAGGGAGACTCAAGGGCCACTGAAGATAGTGATACATCCTAGCATTCAGGGTTGCCAGCAGTGAGGTAGACAGACAGTTTCAACCCTCAATGTGTTTGATGCTGATCTGAGCCGAGCTGCTGAGTTTGTGTTCCCCGACGTGGCTCTGACCCACCATGTCTCTAGTGTAAGAAAGGTACTGGGCTGAGGGATGAGGGTGTAGCTTGGCTGGGGGAATACTCGCTAACATGCAGGAAAGTCGTTCAATTCCCAGTACCACATACAGATGGTTATGGTGGTCCCAGCACTTTCAAAGGCAGGGGCAGGAGACTAAATGCTCAAGATTATCCCCAGCTACTCAGTGAGTTTGAGGCCATCCTCAGCTTCATGATCTGTGTCTATACCCACCCCCGACACAACATACACAGGTACACACACACACACACACACACACACACACACACACACACAGGTAATGGTATTAGGACCTCACTCACCAACTGTTCTTGCCACCTGTAGCTTCCCAGGAGCTAGTGGTGAGTCACTGTCACCTTTCACCTTGTTCTTTATAAGAATCTTATTGATGGCATCCCAGGGGATCCTGGAAATAGTTGTGCCTGTCTGTCCATCTGTCTCTCCTTCCTTCTTAGTTGAGTGCTCAGCTGAGCTCGGATTCATTGCTCCTGGGAAAACAGCTGAACCAAAGGGATGAATGGATGAGATGAAAGAGCCAGGGTCTCTGGGTAGGGCTCCTGTGTCAGGGATGGGGCTGAGGAAGGCTTGTCTCTGTGACCCTTCATTGCCAACTGTCGTTTGTCTACCAATTAGGACCAAACTGTGTAGATCTTCCATGCAACAGGCAGTTCTCAAGAAGAAAAAAATGTATCATCATTTTTTTCAATCTCCATAATAGCCTGCTGTGCCAGTGTTAGGATTCTCCCCCTTTTACAAATAGGGAAACTGAGGCACAGGAAAGGAAGGTATTTGCCCATCATCACCCAGCTTTTAAACAGCAGGGCGTCTTGTACCTATCTCCAAGCCCTGTGGGGAGGGCCTGCTGACAGCCATGTGGGGCAGGCAAGGGCCACCAACCACATGGGACCCTCTTCTATTTCATTCTGGACACCCCCTCCCACTGCTCAGGGGAGATTCATCCAGGAGGTTTGTGAGCCATTCTAAGGGATTATCACTGGGCACTCATGCCTGGTAGGAGCCTTGCTTTGTCATTGATGGGATGTCTGACTCTGAGGAACTCACTCTAGAGCATGAGTGCAGACCCTCCAGACTTCCCACAAGAGATGACGGTGGTGGGTGCCCTGTCCCCTCCTCCAGCTCAGTTTGCCCAGCTGACCCAGCTGAACCCCCAGGAGCGCATGAGCCGGGAGACAGCCCTCCAGCAGAAGCAAGTGTCCCTGGAGGCCTGGCTGCAGCGAGAGGCACAGACCCTGCAGCAGTACCGTGTGGTTAGTGGGTCCTGCATCCCTCTGCCCCTGGGAGGGAGCCCTGTCACCCCAGATTCAGGGCACCCACCAGGTAGGGGACAGAGCCAAGCCGAGAACAGGTCCCCTCTTTCCTGGGGTGCATGTGGGGTGGAGCAGGTGGAGAGGGCCTGTGGGCTGCTCCCCGGGAGCCAGAAGGCTGCTGTGCCCTCCCTCATGCAGGAGCTGGCTGAAAAGCACCAGAAAACCCTGCAGCTGCTGAGGAAGCAACAGACCATCATCCTGGACGACGAGCTGATCCAGTGGAAGCGGAGGCAGCAGCTGGCCGGGAACGGGGGGTCCCCCGAGGGCAGCCTGGACGTGCTGCAGTCCTGGTGAGGGCGAGAGGTGGGCAGGGTGGGCGGGGGCTTGGGCAGTGGTGCCAGCTGCCTCGTCTGTCCTTCCGTCTGTGACAGTTCTCACTCTGTCAGTGTCCTGGCTCCTGATGGGACTTGGCTCCTCAGTCCCGTGCCGCCTCCCCCAAGGGACAGTGGTGCCTTGGAATGGGCAGGGCTACTCTTGAGCTGGTTGGTTCCAAGTTGGGGCCACCCTGTCTGTCCTCTGCTTTTGCAAAGTGGGACTCTGCTCTGTGCCTGTGCAGGGTAGTGGTGGCCAATGCCAGCACCTTGAGAGGAGCTGTGGCTTTGTTGGGAGGGAGGAGCAGTGTCATGTGGCCTCGCCCCCTGGCCTGTGCTGGGACAGAGGCCACTGTCCCTCTGAGGGCCCTGGCTCCTTGCAGGTGTGAGAAGTTGGCCGAGATCATCTGGCAGAACCGGCAGCAGATCCGCAGGGCTGAGCACCTGTGCCAGCAGCTGCCCATCCCAGGCCCCGTGGAGGAGATGCTGGCCGAGGTCAACGCCACCATCACAGACATCATCTCAGCCCTGGTCACCAGGTGACTGCTGCCTCCCTGCCATGCTCACAGGGACATGGCAGTTCCTGGGTGGGCATGTTGAGGCCCGGGAGCTCTGCCCCAGTCCTGCTCCTCCAGCCCAGTGTGTGTTGGGGACACTGCGGGAAGCACCATGGAGTCCAGCCTCCCTCACATCTGTCTCCAGTCCCCATGTCCTCCCCGGGATCAGAGGCCAGGCCCCTCCTCCTCTGCCCGTCTTCCTTCCTAGTGGGCTCCACGGGAAGGTCCTCCCCTCCTAGCTGGCCTCCCAGCTCTGTCCCCTGAGCCAGCATCTGGTCAACTGTCTGGTCCCTGTGCCCCCTGCAGTACATTCATCATCGAGAAGCAACCTCCTCAGGTCCTGAAGACCCAGACCAAGTTCGCAGCCACCGTGCGCCTGCTGGTGGGTGGGAAGCTGAATGTGCACATGAACCCCCCGCAGGTGAAGGCGACCATCATCAGTGAGCAGCAAGCCAAGTCCCTGCTCAAGAACGAGAACACCCGCAAGTGAGTGTGATTGTCCCTCCCTGCTGGGTTTGGATGCAGCTTCTTTTGCTCAGGTGGGGTCTGTATGGGGGCATAGCTCAACTTTCATCCCTTCCAGGCATTATGGCTCTCCATAATACAGCCTTCTCCCTCAGTGTGCTTTCCCAGCTTTGGTTGTGTCTGACCTTTAATAGGGCAGCCAACATTGAACTGCCACATAGTCCAATCATTTGTGCTGAGCAGTAGGTACACGGCTGTGATCCAAAGAGCACTAGCTTCTTTCCAAACTGGACCACTGACCTGCAGAGTATACTGCGTTCAATGAACTGTGATTGCAGGCACAGCTATGGGACCACACACACACACACACACTCATGTTGCTGGTGATTGGTTGATATTTAAAGCCTGGAGTGGCTGGGTTAGCACACCCTTGTATTTCCAGTTATTTGGAGGCAGAGGCAGGAGGATCAAGAGTTCAAAGTCATCCTCAGCTCATTAGTTACCTGGAGGCCTGCTTGGACAACAAAAGACTCTGTCAAAAAAACAAAAACAAAAACAAAACAAACTCACTACAAAGTCAGCCAGGTGTGGTGATGCACACCTTGATCCCAGTCTTGGGAGGTAGAGGCAGGTACATGTCTGTGAGTTCAAGTCTGGCCTACGTAGTTTCAGGCCAGTCAGGGCTACATTCATAGTGAGACTCTGTCTTTAAAAAGAGAATACACAATAAAAATCCTTATGAGTACTATCAGGGCAGCAGTTGGCGAGAGGGGTTGTCTGTTTGTTTTTCAGGTAGAACCCACATGTTGAGCTGTAAGAGTGTAGAGAGGCACATGAGACCCAAGAAACCGGTCCTGAAAAGCTACCCATGTAGCGCTTACTTACATGCCCCATTGGAGTGATGCAGGAGGCTAGCCCCATCTTTGATGGTCCCATTAAAAACTGGTCTCCCAGGCCCAGAGATGTCAGTTATCGACACATGCCTGCCTAGTGTGCACAGAGCCCTGGGTTTCCACCCTGCACCGCACTATGGAGCTGGGCTCCTCTCTCTTTACAGTGATTGCAGCGGCGAGATTCTGAACAACTGCTGTGTCATGGAGTATCACCAAGCCACAGGCACCCTCAGCGCCCACTTCAGGAACATGGTGAGGCCAGGGCTGCCTTGGAGAGGAGGTCTGTCCAGGGCAGGGGCTCAGTGGCCCTTTATCCCAGTCTCATGCTGGTTTCCTGCTTTGCAGTCACTGAAAAGAATCAAGCGTGCCGATAGGCGTGGTGCGGAGTCCGTGACGGAGGAGAAGTTCACAGTCCTGTTTGAGTCTCAGTTCAGTGTTGGCAGCAATGAGCTGGTGTTCCAGGTGAAGGTGAGGCTCTGGCTACACCATTCATGGGGCCAGCCAGCTTAGTGAAGGGACCTGCCCACAGTTACCGGCTGCTGGGGGAGAGCTGCAGACTGAGCTGGCTGTGATGCTATACAACTGTAGTCCTGCCCGTCCAGAGGACCAGAGTTCAATTCCCAGTACCTACATGGCAGCTCACAACCATTTGTAATTCCAATTCCAGGGAATCCAATGCCCTCTTCTGACCTCTGTGGGCAATGCATGAATGTAGGGCACATACATGCATATAGACAAAACACCCATACAAAATAAATATTTAAAAAAAAAAAAAGAGCCGGATGTTTCAGCAGTATGTAAGAGCATTTGCTGTTCTTGCAGAGGACCCAGGTTCTGTTCTCTGTACCTATACAGGACGGCTCACACCCACCTTTTAAAAACAAACAAAAATGTGGAGCTTGCAAGATGACCTTGTTGGTGCAAGCTCTTGCTGTACAAGCCTGACAACCTGAATTTGAACCCTGGAACCCACATTAGATGGGGAAATAATTGTCCTTTGACCCATACATGCTGTAGTACTCTCTCTCTTTCTCTCTCTCTCTGTGTGTCTTTCTCTCTCTCACACACACACTTATAATAATAAAATGCAATTTAAGAAGCAGGCTAGGAATCTATCTAGTTGGTAAAATGTCTGCCTAGTATGCAGGAAGCCCTGGGTTTGATCCCTAGCACCATATAAAACCAGGAATAGTGGTGCATGCCTTTAACCCAGAGATATAGGCAGGAGGATCAGAAGTTCATGGCCATCCTCAGGTACATAGGGAGTTCAAGGCCAGCCTGGGATACATGGGGCCCTGTTTACAAAACAAGTCAATAACAAAAAGAATACCTAATATGATACAATACAAAATACCACAGGGCTCTAAGTCTTGTTGCCTCCGCCCAGTTACCTTGCAATGCCCTGAGAACCCACGTGGATCCTGCTGGGACCTTTTTGCTGTGTTCATTAGCATATTACTTGGGCACTAGGCTGAGAAGGAATACATCCTCAGTTCTGTTTTTATTTTCGAACAAAGTCTTGTTATATTAGACTAGCCTTGACTTCTCAGTCCTTCTGCCTCCATCTTCCAAGCACTAGGATTGGAGCATGAGCCAGCAAGCCTAGCTTATGTTGGTCCGGTTTTGCTTATGCTTAGGACTGTTAGGAAGGCTTGTGGCTGAATGGTGGGTGTGTGATAAGGGATAGGAGTCTTGGTTATGCAGAGGACATACTGTGTTGAAACTCTTCAACTCTTACTCTATCACTTTCATAGACCCTGTCTCTCCCTGTGGTAGTCATCGTTCATGGCAGCCAGGACCACAATGCTACTGCCACTGTGCTATGGGACAATGCCTTTGCTGAGCCGGTGAGTTCTCTTGGGCTCTCCATCTTGGCCCTTGAGCCCTAGAACTGTCCTTGGGTTAGACCAACTCCATAGACCCCAGAGCTGAGCTGGGGGGTGAGGTGGCAGGGTGAGGCGTGTGCCTGTCTGCTGGTCTGGCCAAAGGCCCTGGCTAGGTTTTGGGACTCAGAATTGCCTGGTCTCTCCAAGGAATGGGACTGGTTTCTGGGCCTGGTCTTTGCTTTCCTTTTGTCCTATGGCTGAGGTCCCTACCACTGTCCTCAGTCCTGTGGTCTGGGCCTTTGCTTCTGCTGAACCTCACTACCTACCTCTTCCCTTCTGCTTTTCGTTCCCCTTTGTGTTTGTGTATTCTTTCTGGATGATTCTCAGCCCTTTCTGTCCCTTAATCCCTGCATATCTCATGTGTGTGTGAGTGTGTGTGTATATGAGTGTGTGCGTTGTGTGTGTGTGAGTGAGTGTGTGTGAATGAGCGTTGTGTGGGTGTGAGTGTGAATTGTGTGTGAGTGTATGTGTGTGTGAGTGTGTATGTGAGTGTGTGTGTATGTCAGTGTGAATGAGAGTGTATGTGAATGTGTATGTGTGAGTATGTGAGTGTGTGTGTGAATATATGTATGTATATGAGTGTATGAGTATGTGTGTATGTGTGAGTGTGTGTGAGTGTATGTGTGTGAGTGTGTGAGTGTGTGTATTGTGAGTGTGTGAGTGTATGTGTGAGTGTGTATGTGTGTATGTGTATATGTGTGAGTGTGAGAATGTGTGTGTGTGAGTGTGTGTGTGAGTATATGTATGTGAGTGTATATATGTGTGTGAGTGTATATATATGTGTGAGTGTATGTGTGTGTGAGTGTGTATGTGTGTGAGTGTGTATGTGTGAGTGTGTATGTGTGTGAGTGTGTATGTGTGTATGTGTATATGTGTGAGTGTGAGAATGTGTGTGTGTGAGTGTGTGTGTGAGTATATGTATGTGAGTGTATATATATGTGTGAGTGTATGTGTGTGTGAGTGTGTATGTGTGTGAGTGTGTATGTGTGAGTGTGTATGTGTGAGTGTGTATGTGTGTGAGTGTGAGTGTGTGTGAACATTTCCAGCTCTCTCAGTCTGCTTTTTCTTCTCATCCTTCTCTCCCTCTCAGGGCAGGGTGCCATTCGCCGTGCCTGACAAGGTGCTGTGGCCGCAGCTGTGTGAGGCGCTCAACATGAAATTCAAGGCCGAGGTGCAGAGCAGCCGGGGCCTGACCAAGGAGAACCTAGTGTTCCTGGCACAGAAACTGTTCAACAGCAGCAGCAGCCACCTCGAGGACTACAACAGCATGTCGGTGTCCTGGTCCCAGTTCAACCGGGTGAGTGGCCAGCCGCCAGTAGCTCTTACTCCAATCTTTCCAAACGTTTGCCTGCGGGAGTTCCCCTGCTACCTGCCAGAGACCATCAGGGTCCTATCACGCTTTCTCTTATCTTGAAGTCAGGCTACCACCCTCTGAGGCTAGCATCCGACCCTCGACCCCAACCACACTCCCTATAATCAGGAGAGGCTGGCTCTCAGACAGTCAGACAGCAAGAATGCAAGCAGAGGCCATGAGGCATTATGTTCATTCAGTCATGGAAGCCAAAGTAGGCTGAGAGGACCCCGAGCAGGGATCCATTCATGGGCTTACCACTGATTTTTAGGCCTTGTCTGTTCTTTGTGCTCAAGTTTCTCCATCTATCTGTGAAAGAATAGGACTTTGTTGGGTTTTTCCAGCCTAGATAAGTCTTCATAGCCTCTATCCCCACTCCCGGGGTTGGCCCATGTACATGAGACCTTGAGTGGGGGCAGGCGGGGAATCAGCACAGGGCCCCCTGAGGAGAGTTGGGGGCAGGCATGGAGGGAGCTAAGGGCACTGACTCCTGGGCTACTATGACGTGGGGTGTCGTGGGGTTCACAGGAGAACCTGCCAGGCTGGAACTACACTTTCTGGCAGTGGTTTGATGGGGTGATGGAGGTCCTAAAGAAGCATCACAAGCCCCACTGGAATGATGGGTGAGGAGCAGGGCCCTGGGGGCGGCAGGTGCGTAGAGGGCTCTGGGAATGGTGTCTGCTTACCCAGCAATGACATCAAATGTACCAAACACCCAGGGCCATCTTAGGCTTTGTGAATAAGCAACAGGCCCATGACCTCCTCATCAACAAGCCAGATGGGACCTTCCTATTGCGCTTCAGCGACTCAGAAATCGGAGGCATCACCATCGCCTGGAAGTTTGACTCCCGTGAGTTCCCATCTCCCTGTCCCACACCCAACCCCATGAGCTGTCTTCCATTTCCTCACTGCCATGCCCCTTTCCTTAGCAGTCACCCACTTTCAGGAGAGGGAGGTACTGAGCTCAAGGCATGGGAGGTATGGGAGGGAAGTGGCACCTCTCCCCATCACTTTTGGTCTCCAAGAACCTAAAAACCACGCATTCCACAGACATGGGATGCCTGGTGAGTTTCTGCAGCTTCATGTGGTTCACATCTCTCCCATGCCCAGCTTGCTGAGTGTAATGTTCTAGATGAGCTCCCCTGCATGGAGGAGCAGGAAGGCTGGGTTTGCAGTGCACGGGAGGCCAATGCATGCTGGGAAAGGCCCTCTTGTGAGGGCAGCTTGTGGAATGAATTATCCCTTTCACAGCCGACCGAAACCTCTGGAATCTGAAGCCGTTCACCACGAGAGATTTCTCCATACGGTCCCTGGCTGACAGGCTGGGGGACCTGAGCTACCTCATCTATGTGTTCCCAGACCGACCCAAGGATGAGGTCTTTGCCAAGTACTACACTCCTGTACTTGGTGCGTCCTGCTTCCAGGAGGGCTGGGCAGGGGCATCTCCTCTGTGGGCTTTGGGTCTCTGGCATGGAGGGTTTCAGGGCTCACACCTGAGGTGAGAAAGTGAAACCTGCCCCCAGCTTGTTTCTATGCTGTGCAGACAGCTAAGTTCTCAATTCTACCTTAGCTGAGAGGGGTCGGAATTATTGAGGGGGGAGCGGGGGTCGTTCCCACGAAGAGTTGCTTAACTGCCCCTCTAGTCAGCAGCTCTTGCCACTTCCCACACCCCCGCAACTCACCCCAAGTTAAACAGAGGAGCAAAATGGACGGGCTCTTCTTTTCTAATTCTCGGGTCCACTGGTGGAGTTTACATCCTGTTGATGCCATTTGCTTGGCAGGCATGCAAATGGCCAGGAAAGAAACCAGGGGAGGGGATAGGATAGCAGCCAAGGGTCCCAGTGGCCCTCTGGCTGGATCTATAAGCAGGGGTTTATTGGAAGCCCTTGGGAACTTTCATCCCTGAGAAAGCTCCAGGGTGGTGTGGGCAGGGGGCTGATGGCATGTTGTCCTCACTGTGTCCTTCCCCCTCCCCCTACAGCAAAAGCAGTTGATGGATACGTGAAGCCTCAGATCAGACAAGTGGTCCCCGAGTAAGTGTCCAGAGCCCAGCTCTGGGTCTCCTGTTGCCTCTTCATCCCTTGCTTGCTCTTCTTTTAATACTAGGTAATGTGGCTTGGCCCCTGAGGAGGAAAGATTCAACTGTACTGAGATGGTACCCAGAACCCCTGAGCTCCAGACACCAATGGGGACACTTTGACCAGAAGTCCCTGTCCTGGTGTTGCTGGCCTCTCTGGCCACTGAGGCCGTGTTCTGCTTCCTTTCACAGGTTTATCAATGCATCTGCAGATGCTGGAGCTAACGCCACCTACATGGACCAGGCCCCTTCTCCAGTAGTGTGCCCCCAGCCGCATTACAACATGTACCCACAGAAGTAGGTCCTGTTTTCATGGGGATCCATGGGGAGGAACTGGGGTTTGGCCTCAGGCTGGACACCTGGAGGACTGAGGGACAAAGGAATCCAGAGGCCCCCTGGATTTGACTCCATCCAGCCTAGGCCCAGAGTCCAGCCTGGCCCAAGCGAAAGGAAGGTGAAGTCGGCTAGGAAAAAACATGGAGCATTACGAAGTTAGACAACTAGGGTCCTGCCCTCATTCTGGTACAGTCTATGTGAGCCTGAGAAGTTTTTCTTGGATGCACGGTTCCCTCATGTGCAAATTAGAGGTGACAGGTGCTCCTGCCCCACGGAATCGGGATGAGAATCGAATGAGATGGTGCCATAAAATTTTTCCATATAGAGTTGTCAGAAGGACTCGGGACAGTGTCACTATTATTGGAGTGGTTATAAGGTGGGAACAGAATGGAGTGTTGAATCCTTTCTAAACTACAGTAGCCTAGGCTGGATGGCTGGGACTAAGGAGGTAGCACATTGCAGTTGGACCACCACATATGTGGAAACCACAGAGATTCTTTTAATTTTAAAATGTGTGTGTGTGTGTGTGTGTGTGTGTGTGTGTGTGTGTGTGCGCCTGTGGAGGCTAGAACAGGGCATCCTGTAGTTGGAATGCCAGGCAATTGTGAACTGCCTATATTCTTAAGTTTTAAAAATACATGTGTGAGGGGGTGGGGAGGGGGTGATAACTTGTGTGAATCAGTTCTCTTCTTCCTCCATGTGGGCTCTGGTATTGAACCCAGGTCACCAGGATTGATTTGTTGGCAAGTGTCACTGAGCCGTATCACCAGCTTCTGCTTTTTTTGTTATTGCTATTTATGTATATGGTATGTATCTATGTGTTTATGTGGCTCTATGCATATGTGCCAATCTGAGTATGCGCATGTGCAGGCCAGAGGTCAACATCAGAGACACTTTTCAGTTACCTCCCACCTTATTTTCTGATTCTGTCTTTTGGTGAACCTGAAACATATCCATTTGTCTAAGCTGGCTGGCCAATGAGTTCTAAAGATCCTCCTCTCTCTGCCTGCCCCCCCCCCCAGTGCTGGGGTTACAGACACACACTGCCACACCCAGCTTTTTATGTGGGCGCTACAGATCTTAACTCAGGCCGTCATGCTTGTGAAGCAGTCTGCTGACTGAGCCAGCCTCCTTTTAAAGTTCTTACCAGCAATGTGCACTATACAAAGTGATATTACATGATGGCATTAGCATTCAGGAGCTAGGCTCTGATTCGACTGGGTCTATGTAGCCCTGGCTGGCCTGGAACTCACAAAGGTCCACCTGCCTCTGCCTTACAAGTGGGAATGCTGGGATTAAAAGCCTGCTCCTTCACACCCAGCCAAGACCTAGATTCTGATTCTAGCTGCAAGTGGCCCAGAACAAGCTTCCTTACTCCTAATGCTTGCCTTAAGGTGGTCTGAGGATTAGCGTTAAGTGGCCAAAAGCTACTGCGGTGGCTTGGTAGATGGTTTGGGATTATAAGGCAGTGAAGGACATCACAGGTGAACAGTACAGCCTGCCGGCCAATCACACAAGAGTGCAGGTGAGGGAAAATGAACTCCTCGAGATCATGATGTGAAGCAAGAGATATGAGAGGCAGTAGACCATCTTCTCACGACCCAGAGACTACTGTCCAGCCTGGTGGGAGTTCCAGCCAGAGTGCTGCTGGTCCTGTCCTTAGGAGACTCCAGTATTTGTGGGGAGCAGACTAAGGACTCTCTATGGGGGTTTGGAGCCATGAGACCTGCCGGTTTCCCCAACATTCCTCTCTTTGCCAGCCCCGACCCTGTCCTCGACCAAGATGGAGAATTTGACCTGGATGAGACCATGGATGTTGCCAGACACGTGGAGGAACTTTTACGACGGCCCATAGACAGTCTTGACTCCCGCCTCTCCGCACCTGCTGGCCTCTTCACCTCTGCCAGAGGCTCCCTGTCCTGAACGCTGGAACGCCTTGCTTCTCTTGGAAAGCCACCTTTGATGTGAAGAGCCCATGTCAGTTGTGACTGTAGTATCTCTGTATATTCCGACAGCTTGGAGTGCATATGTGTTGGTGCAGTAAGCAGCGGCAACGCCACCTTGCCTACACAGCTCTGGGTCCGTGGCTAAAGCAGTGGTGCACTTTTTGTTTAGGCCTCCAGGGCCCCGGGTTTATCAAGAGAGCTGGATCTATCATTCCAGACAAACCTATTTCCCCCTGTGTACTTTATCAGTTCAATGGCTACTGAAGTGAAGTAATTCTAGAAAAGGAGGCAGGGTTAGGCAATTAAATTGGAGTCTCACTACTGAGCTAGAAACTTCATCTGTATTGGTGTGTACCTGTCCTCTTGCACATGTGGTAGCCTAATCGATGTTCTCCCTCCAAAGGGAGAGGGGGGTTCACTCTTGGTACACATTACACTTGAGTGGCTGTGGGCTGCAGACTTTGGGACTACTCCGTGTGCTTAGGCTGCAGCCATGAACACAGCAGCCCTGGGTTAATCTGAGTCAGGGCTACCACAACTGAGTATGTCAGTTCTTGGGTTTTTATCTTCGAGCCAGTGTGGACATGAACTTCCAGTCTGATGGCCTTGTCCACATTCCCAACATCCCTTTTCCCCCATCTAGTATCCTCATCCTTCCATTTGGGCTCAGCTTTCTTGCTTTTGGTTTTTGTTTTGTTAGATAGGGTTTCCCCATGTAGCCCAGGCTGGACATGAATGATCCTCTTGCCTCAGCTTCAGGAATGCTAGGATTACAGGCATGTACAACCATACCTGGCTCTGGTCTTTCTTCATTTATTGTTTGCAACCTTGCTTATTATCAGAAAGGAGGGGAATATTAAATGTTGGGGAATAGACATAGGGAGAAAAATCTATGGCACAAGAAAAGCAACAGACAGCATAGTCTGCAAGGTCAGGCAGAAGCACTCAGTTGGGTCCACTCTGCCGGGAGGTGGAACCTGGAACAGGCCTTGCACTGTTGCATCATGGGTTGTGGTCTAGGAAGGCCTCACCAGCTCCTCCCTCTGAGGCTCTAACAAGGCAGCCAGGGCTGGCTGACTAGGAGTCCCTGGTTTTAGTCTTTCTGAAAGGAGCAGAGGCTGAGCAGAAGGATTTTTTTTTTTATACATTGTACATAGACCTCACATTTATGTAAACTGTTTTTGAATAAAATTTTTGTTTGTTTTTCTTGTTGTTTTGTAATTTACCAGCCTGCCTCCTGTTTTAGTGGACTAGCAATAGTGGGGTGATGGGCTTCTCCGGTTTGTTCTGGAGTCACCTCTACTCCCTTTGCTGTGATTTCAAGGATGCTGCTTTCCTAGAACAGTGTCAGAAAGCTAAAGAACTGGCGTGTGTGTGTGTGTGTGTGTGTGTGTGTGTGTGTGTGCGCGCGCGCGCGCATGTGTGTGTGTGTTTGGGGATGCATACTCAGGAAAACAAGGACTCAAGGGCTTGGGGAAAGAAGATACAAGAACAGCTGGGAGAGAAACCCAGGTGAAGAGCAAAGCTATAGTCCAGGCTGCCACTGAAGGATCACTGGGGATGGTGCCTAAGAGACCCAACTTTCCTGTGGCCAAGGACAGCAGAGAGCCTGGACAATAGCCCATTCTCCCCTGGCCTCTTCCCAGAGCCCAGTAGGTGGCACCATCCAACCGCTGTGGTGGCCTGACAGAGTAAAGGAAGCTGACCAGGACAGAGAGAGGCCTGCTGGATCTCTGTCACCAGGTACAGTTAGTCCAGGGCCTGGGCCTGGGGCCTTGGACACAGAAGCACAACCCTTTGGGTCGAGTTGGGGCATAAGGAACTGTGACAGGTTACCTCAGAGCGCAAAGGGAGCATGGGTACAGGAGCTCAGTTCACCCTGCCCCAGTGAGGCCCAGGGTGGCTGGGGGGTGGGAAGCAGGGTCTGCCCCCAGCTCAGCCTCACTAAACAGTAATCTCTGCTTCCATCTCTGCAGGGGGAGTGGGGCATCTCACAGAGGCTCTAAGAGCTGGGCTCCAAGGTACTGTGGCCTTTCCCTGAGTTGTCACTGTTGACTGCCCGGGGGCCCTGCAGCCAGCAGCCAGCAGCCAGCAGCCAGGGAAGTGGCTGCCAGTTGTCCCCACTGATGGAACTGAAAAGAAAGCGATAATGGGCTGACTGTGGAAGGAGAGGCCTGGGTCTACACCCCAACCCCCCTCCATTAGGCAGCTTATCTGACTCCAGAACAAACACAGCAGCTTTGAGAGGGTGGAGGGAAGGGGCCACTCTGACACTTTCTCGCCACTGGACTATGACCCTTGGCTCCTGGGTTGCTTCCTCTGGAGGATGGCAGCTGATATAAAATTGGGGGGTGGGGGCTGCATTGCCTCAGCAATGAGAAGCAAACAGAACTTCAGGCCCAGAACTGGGCTGTTATCCCCTCATGAGCTCCCAGCTTCACAGAGCACAAGCTGGGCAATGGCAGTCCCACAAGCCAGCCAGCCCCCACTGCCACCAGACGGTTCCTATATAATCTTTATTTCTGGAAGTTAAAGTAGTTACAGCAATATACAAAAAAACAAACAAACAAACAACAACAACAAAAAACAACCCACAATAATATAAATTTTTACACTAGAAAGTATACATTGGAATTTGAATGCAGTGGCTAGGATAGAATACAAACCACTGTACAGAGAGGCTAAGCAATCCGCAGGCATGGCTGGGCTAGGCTGGGGACAGGCATGGTCAAAGGAGGCAAAGTGGGCGAGCTGCTCTGAGGACTCCATGGGGCAAGTTTCTGCTCTCCTTGGAGCTGTCATTACAGGTGATTAGCCCAGGCCACCCAGGTAACTTCCCAGAGATGGGGCTTTTACAACACCTGCCCCAGAGAAGCCTGAGCCCTTGCTCCCTAGGTCCCCAGGCATTAAAGTCCCAGCCTTGCCTTTCTAAATACCCTTTTGGCCTGGGACTTCAGCTTATTGCATACTAAAGAATGTTCTGGGGAAGGGAGAGCAGTAACTGTCTCAAAGCAGAAGGCCAGGGGGTAGCCAAGGCAAGCAGTCTGTCTTGGAGACAATGTCCTCACCCTCTTAGTTCAGACACTGGTTAATTTGAGTGAAACAAACAAGAATTCCAGACACTGGCCAGCTGAGCATGGTGTCTCTGAGTCACTGAATCTAGCCATGCCTCCGTGTCAGAGGAGGCCTGCCTTGTTCAAGCAAGTAGATTGGTGGAAGCAAGCAGGTGACATGAAGGCCACAGTAGGTGCAGGCACCCTGTTCCACCTCACCCCAGGGGCCCCAATGAGGAGCAGACAATCACTAGTCTCAGGAGAGGCCAAGGTTATACCTCCAGGGGTAGACCTGGAGTTTATTAGTCAGCTTTTGCCATGTGGTTATAGGTACCCCTGGGTACCAAACAAATAGAATAAGGACCACAATCCCTGAGCTTTGCTGAGGACCTGTAGTCTAAGTCAGATTCAAAGCTGTAACTCAGTCTCTCTGATCATAGGGTCCTGAGACCAGGGTTCCCAATGCAAGCAGGACAGGGGCCTTGGGACATGGGAAGGAGACACCATGAGCAAGGTCAAGTGGGAAAGGAAGCCAGGTTGGTTCTAGGCCCAGTAAGGCACCTGCAGGACAGGCTGACCCGGAAACAGGGTCTGGAGTCTTGGAGATAGGGAGGGTGACAGGTTTTCAGTGCCCTTGGTCTACCCTCACCCCTCCAACAGGGGAGCACACTCCTGGGTAAATAAAACCCAGTTTATGAAGAGTCTGGGATATCTAGGTTCTCTCTAACCTTCATGTTCAAACCAGAGGCTAAGCCACAGCCTCAGATGTCTTTTCCAGATTTCATCAGAAACCATCTCAGGGTTTTTACACTTAAAGCACCAAAGAAGCTGGGGATGAGTTTTCTTTGCTACAGAAAGGCTATACTACATGCTGTCTCCGTGTGTTTTGCCCTTTAATTCTTCTTATTTTTTTTTTTTTTAATTTAAAAAGAACCTATGGGCTTAGTCCTATTTTCTATTTGGACATTAGCAAGGTTAAAAGTGCAATGCCAGGAGTCCTCAGCTGCAGGCAGCCTGGTGTATCAGCTCACAGAAATGGGCAGAAGGATGCCATGGGCACCAGGAGGCACTTGTCTAACAACAAAGGACGGCAATGAGCTGCTGAGGAGGGAGGGCGGGGAACGGGACACAAGGCATTTGCTTTTCTCCCCCCAGCCTCCGGCTTTCACATCCCCATCGCGGACTCAGAGTACTTTCCTCTTTACATAAAGCACATCACCCACACTCACTCATTTCTCTATTTTAAAAAGTGCCCAGATTGCTCAAAGATAGCAGAAGTAGGAGATTTAAAAAAAAAAAAAAATCTGGAACCACAAAGTTAGGAGTCTCAGATGAGCTGGGGTTTGACTGCTTAAGGGTGGAACCCGGGGCAGGCAGGTGCCCCGGTCATCTCTGCAGCTTCCATTTGTAGCCCCTCACATGGGGGAGGTAGCGCACTCCGAAGTCAGATCCATCTCAAACGTGAGTGACTCTGCAGGGACAGAGAGACAAGGCCAGTTCAGCCACCTGACTGCAGCAGCTTCTCATAAGCCCCTCCCCCTTTGTCAGGGGCTCAGGCACTGCTGTCAGCCAGTCTCCCGGCCCTTAAGCCTAGGCAAGGTCAGAAAAGGCAGACTTCCCTGCCCTCCAGAGGAGCTCAGTCACCTCAAACCCGGCTCTCTATTTCAAAGGCTGCCCTGGTAGTGGCAGCCTCAGCCACAAAGAGCCCCTGAGCACCTGAAACTAGTCTAAATCAAGATGTCAAAGTCGCCACATTTCAAAGAATTAGTAGAAGGGGCGGGGGGTGGGGGGCTGATAGTTTAATGTCTTTCTCTTCAGGTGCTAAAGTGTGCTGCTTATGTAAGGCATTAATGTCACTTGTCACTTCCTACTGTTTTTACTGTGGCTGTTGAAAAATTACACATGTATGGCATCTGTTTCCATAGGACAGTGTGACTCTAAGGCCACCTCCAGCCAGTGCGGATGGCCGGCTCTGGCTCTGTATAGGCAGGCATCAGACAGGAAGGGACCCAACTTTCTAAACACTCACCAAACTGCCCTCCTGCTGAGGGCTCAGCACCTTCACCGTTATTTCCAAACTGCATCAATGAATCTAAAGTGCGGGGGGACATCGGCAGGTCAATGGTATTGCTGCAGGTCGTTCTGTAGGAAAGGGGGGGGCGGCAGGAAGGGGAAGGGCCGGGTTGACAAGACACAATGGAGGGGAAAAAAAAAAAAGAACAAAACACACACACACAAGCCATCAAACTCTGGTCTCCAACAGAAAAAAATAAAAACTCAAGCTTTTTAAACACACAAGGTCACTCTGAGCACTAAACAGCCCAGGGGCATCCAGCCCTTCACAGTGGCTCTCATCCCTCGTCCTCCCTATTCCTGGGGACAACTGAGGACACTAGAAATGAATGCAAAACTGGGAAGGGAAGCCACTTACGGTGTCACACAGATGAACTTGGTCTTCAGGTAAGGAGCAGCACCTGTAGAGAGGAAACCCAGGCTTTAGCTGACTGAAACTGCTTTTAGAATAGTGCAGGAGGAGCCCACCTGCCACTCCAGATGGCTTGAGCCAACCTCACAGAGACTGCCCAGACACCTGTCTACCCCTTAAGGCTGGCCTCCCTGGTCACATGTTACTTGACATCCAAGGTACTTGAAGTTTGAAGTTTTATGCGTTCCACAGCTGTAGAACTTCTGGGTACAACTGCCCCACCCACCTGTACCAGTGCCGAGACTACTGCCCCACCCACCTGTACCAATGCCGAGACTACTGCCCCACCCACCTGTACCAATGCCGAGACTGCCACTGACTTCTGTGTTCCTGCCTTTGTGTGCTGTTAGGCTTCTACTGTGTCGCGGCCATACTTATGAACTGACTTCCCTGTTTGGTGACCAGGCCAGACACAAACAGGTCTGAATATTTAAGCCAACAAAGACAGCTAATGCTGGAGGTTCCAAAGCCATCTCCAAGCTTGAAAACACATTCCAGCCACTGGGAAGTACAGGACACCCAAGTCGGAGCACATGTGCAGCAGCCAGGAGACCCGGCCAAAGTACCTTCTCTCTCACGTATGGGAGGAGAGGGAGAGGCAGGGTTGGCTTTCTTCCTCTCTGCTGTTTATGTTGGAAATGTGAGGACTGAAATGTTAGGCAAAGAAATCGGAAAGCCCTGGGGGCACTGGCATGAAACCTTGGGAGTTCAGTTGAACAAAGCATGCAGCAGGCCTGGGGCAGTGTGGGTAGGCTGAGAAAAGCAGAGACTAACTAACACTGGGGCCTACAAGCAGCAAGAAGGACACATGATAACCACCCAAGAGAAGCCATTGCAAAGTGGCCACAGATGAAAATCCAGGTTCATTTTTGGCCAAGAAACAGGTTAACTCAGCTGGGAGTCAAAGGAATTACTGAGGCAATTGTGCCGCCCACAAATCCAACTGTTCTGGTCCGGAAGAGTTCTCTAGTGTGAGAACTGCCCCCCCCATCTCCCCAGAGAGACGACAGAGGGGTAAGATAAGGCAGTTAAGTAAGGCAGCTCACTGCTAAAGTTGTCTGTTGGCAAGCCTGGTGACCTGGGTTCAATCCCAGGATCTACATGGTGGAAGAAGAGAGCTGACCCCTCAAGGTTCTCTGACCTCCAACAAGACTTCCTACATCCCTTCTCTCTCTCTCTCTCTCTCTCTCTCTCTCTCTCTCTCTCTCTCTCTCTCACACACACACACACACACACACACACACACACACAATGAGAGAATTCTCCAATGATCAAGAGAATGACAAATACATTTTGGGCTTGAGGTGGGAGTGTGAAACACAGAATTAAGAAGGAAGAAATGACCTAACCCTGTCTGGATCTGGACAAGCTATGACTGAACTTGCTCGAAATCCCTCCAGAGGAACAGTTTGTGGGCTTCTGGCAGGCAAGGAAGAGCTGGGAAGAGGCTGACTGATGTTTACACCATGATACTCTTGCAGTAGAAGCAGAGACGTGGCCATCACAGATCACCCCTCTGAGAGGTTCATCAGTCTCTCAAGCCCTCAGTGCACCTTCTTTACCCTCACAGGCAAACCCATCGGGTAATAGATCCCTTGCGCATGCTCAGTGCCTTGCCCCTGAGGAATGTCTCTGGGTGGCTACAGCATGGATGGTGATGGAGATGGCAGCCTCAGACCAAGGGCCTGGATCTCGAAAGCAAAATTAGTCAAAAAAATCAACACTTGGACTTCAAAGTCCTCAGCGAAAAGAACAAAGAGGAATGTGAGAGGAGCTGATAAACAGATCTCCCAACTGAAGGCAAGGTGGAGGCAGAGATAAGGGACAGACAGGAAGTGAGAGCTAAACTCCTCCACAGAATGAAGAGAACTCAATACCAGAACAAAGGGAAAGGAAAATAACTGTCAACAAGCCCAACTCCTCCAGCCTGAGAACTGGGCACTCCTCAGAGAATGCCGGGGACAGAGCCAGGGCGAGTTGAGGAGTATGTGTGCACAGGTGCAACATGGACAAACGCAGTTGGTGAAAGTAGCCAGGGCAAGGAGGCCAACTCACATGTCTCATCACAGAGCTCAGCAAGGCACAATGATTAAGAACAGTCACAGAACAAATGCAGACGGACACACCAGCCTCCTCACCAGCACCAGTAGACAGAAGACAGAGGCAACGCAGCAAGCACCAACGGCTCTGAGTCTTCAGGCTGGGGACGGCCCCAGAGACTACAGATTTAACTCAACATAATTTCTATCTTTTTGTATAATGCATACAGTCACACGCACTCCCACATAATACAATGCTCTCATTTCGACAGCTGTACATTCTAAATGGCAGCTCCACATCCCCTCTGGGTTGTCATCTGCAACAGGGACATTCCCCACTCTGCTGTGAGCCCTGCCCCAGGCTGCTAACAGCCACTGTCCCAGAAAGGCTTTCCTCAGACTACCTGACATGGCTAACACGTGAGAGAGAAGTACACTGCACTCAAATCTGCCACAAGTCTTCTGGAATCCATCATGTAAGAAACATCAGAGTATCCCTTCCTGGCGTTTTGAGTGTATGTGTGTGTGTGTTTGTGTGTGTGTGTGTGTGTGTGTGTGTCTACTTTCATCTTCGGACCAACAAGCTCCCTGTGAGGCCTAACTCTGCTCTTCTCTTGAAACCCATCAGTCACCCTGTCAAACTACCCAATAAATAGTTCTTTCCCATCAAGCAGGACTCACCCAACCGCCCCCCCAGGGTACCAGTCAGTCCTCCACTTTCCCTAAAAATGGGACCGGAACCATGGAAAATCAACAACTACCTGGGTCAGCCTCAGGATGCTCCTGGCTCTCTGGCCGACAGTACTTCCCGAATGCTTCCTCCTTAGGGATGTCAGGGTACAGGTAGACCAGAGGAGACACCAGGATGTTGGTAGCATCCATGATCTTATATCCCATGATGATTTCAGCAAACGACATGTTGTTCAGCTGCTGCTTGGTATATGGTTCTACAGACTGGATCTGGGTCTTGCCTGTCATGGGACACAGGAAGGAAGATTATGCCAGTTTAGTGCTGGAGTCCCTGAATCCTGTACTCAGTGGCTTGGAACTGTGGCAATATCCAGGCAAAACACTCAGATGTAGGTAGAAAAGGGAATGTGGAAATAAGATTCAAGTCACACTTTTCTACACAAATAGTAGCCAGTGGGATGAACAAAATAAACCGCAGGCCACCCCTTCATGAGGCGGCACAGGCCCTCTCTGCCCTCCAGGGGGCAGTAGTAAACAGAACAAGGAGCAGCCAGGTGTTGTCAGTGACCACCAGGTGGAGCAAGTGAGACAGGAGGGGCAGGTGAAAGGTCTTACCACTGATGTCTTTTTCCACCCAAGTGAAAGTGACCCCTCCTTCTTTGCTGCTCTCACTGAATCTCAGCAGGAAGGTGCCTGGGGGCTTTGTGCTCAGGATGGCGCGCTCTCGCTCCTTGCTAATGAAACCCATGATGTACCTGGAGTCAAGGAAAACCAATGTTGCTTGGGCTCAGAACGTGTTCCTGTTACAGGCTTGCTGGGAGCTAGTGACTTGGTTACACAGTACAGCCAAGTTTCAACCTTACCCTTCATTCCAAAGGGCCAAGATATACTTTTTCACAAGGTCAATGATATTGTCTAGCCACACCCAGAAGGAGAAGCCCTTGCCAGCCATGTTTTCCTGGAAAAAAAGAATAATGGGAAAGGCGAGTCCACCACCATCCATCCATCCCAGCCCTTTCATGCCTGAACCTCGGTACCCGCGGGCTCCTCTACCCTCAGGCAGCTCCTTACTAGCCACTGGACAAAGGGGTCCCAGGCTTTCTGTATTCATGCTGCCCCACAACCACCTTACAAATGAGCATTCCAGACCTGCCTTCCAGGCGATAAGCATAAGAATCAACAAGATCACTCACTTACTTTGCAAAATTTAGCCCATGTGATCTGACACCCTGAGTAGTTTACACCAGGTCCTGGAGAAAAGAACAAGAATTTCAGCCTTGGCTAAAGACTTTATTTCTCAAGCAGAATTTGCAGACATTCGTCCCATGTATTTGCTCTCATGTACTTGCACACCATGGCTAGGTGTGCATGTGTCTCTATGTGCATGTGCACAAACATGGCCACACACATCCCAGCACTGATGCCCTACTGGGCTCCTGCTCTTCCTTGCTGTGTGTGGTTCTGAGAACTAGGGTCACACACTAACAAACTGACACCTGGCGTTAGATGGCACAGAGCCTGACGCTAGGTAGACCCTGGGAAACCTTGCCTGAGTGACCAACCCCCACCCCCCCAGACCAGAACCTCATCTGAGGCTGTCAAATCCCCACCTAAGAGCTTCTCCGCCAGCGTAGTCAGCTGCTCAATGCTCAGCCCTCGCTTGGTGGTGGAGGAGAACTGCCAGCTAAGCACCTCGGCCACTTGGTCCCAGGTTCCAATTGGTGGCTTGGTGAAGAAGTTCACGTTCTGTTGAGAAGGTGACAGAGAACGCTGGTGACCCACACCAGGGGCTGAGAAGGCGCGAGAGAGCCAGGGTGAGTTGGGGGACTCACCTTGGGGTTGTTGGTCAGCATGTTATACCACAGGATTGATGCCCAAGCATTTGGCATCTGACAGATGTTGGAGATCACCACAACTGGCAAGGAATGGGTCTGTAGAGTGTAGGGGACAGGTGGGGATGACTTAACAAGACAGCTGTGCTATCACAGCACAGAAGCCTCTTCCCCTTTACCTCCCCAGGTTAGAATGAGCAATCATGCCACACCAGATGCCAGCTCTAAGCAGGATTGTGAGTGAAGATGCTCAACACCCAGAGGAGAAGAATGAACGAACAGTCTGAGCGTCCGGACTTGCTCACACCTGAATATAATCAGTGACATACAAAATGTAACCTGTTCAAAAGCTAGGCCCCTGTCCCCAACTTTCCAGAGACCTGGAAGGCAACCTCCAAAACACAAAGCATCTACATCTTTCCATGAAACTGAGGTATTAGAAATTAAACATGAGGATCCCTGCTTTTCCAGGTCTAACTTAATAAGACCAACAGGGCTGGAAAAACAAAATCTAAATGCCATTATTTTCTGCAAACTGAAATGGTGGCTACTGAGATCCACTTGCCAAGACTTCATCAAATCAATTCAAAGCAATCACTAAGGACAGATTTTTAAGTTATGTGCTCAAGCAGGACTTTCTCCTCAGTGAGTGGCTGTCAAGGACTTTCCAGAGACAGATAGTGAAAACTAAACACAGGCTTAGCAAACAGTCACCATGCCCCAGACACTTTGTGCCCTTGCCCCTGCGCGTGCACGGCCTGGTTCTGCGCAGGACTCACCTCTAGGTCAATCTTGAGGCCCTGGTGGTACACCTCAGTCTCGAAGGTGATCAGATGCAGCTCCTCAGTCACAATCAAGGAGGCCTAGAACAGCAAGGTCATGTCTTCAGGCAATGGCACTGAGTTCTCAGCAGCAACAGAAGAAAGCAACGTGCCACAGCCTCACCACACTAAGGAGGTGGCTGTGGACAGTGTCAGAAACACAGCTGTGTACCTTCTCTCTTCAACACAAAGACCCTCAAGGTCAGGACCCTCACACCTGATTTATTTATTATGTATTACATAATAAATAATCATATTTTATAATATACAGATTCAAGGACCAAATAACAACAAAGCAATGTACATCCAAAGCTACACCCCCCGAGTCCCCCCCCACTTTCCCCCTCCTGCTTATTTACTTATTTGGGGGTCAGCAAGATGGCTCAGTGGGCGAGGGCATTTGCCTGATAACCTGAGTCTAATCCCCAAAACCCACACAGTGGGAGGAAAAAAAAAAAAAAAAAACAGCCCTGCAAATGGTCCCTTGACCTCCACATGCACACATGAATGTCCATATACAAACACAGACAGACAGACAGACAGACAGGTGGGCGGGAGGGAGCCGGCAGGCAGGCAAGCAAACTGATTTGAGTTTCTTCTCTCCTCTCTCCTTTCTACCATCCATACTAGGTTGCAAACTCAGGGTCTCACGCACGCTAAGCATACCCCACCAGTGAACTATACCCAGCATTATTGTCCAGTTTAAGGACAGGCTATCACCACTGAAATCCCCTGGTGATGATTCTCCCCTCCTCCTGCAGTACTGCTAAGCCTCATGGCTCTATTGTTTCCTAGCATGTGAATTTTACATGAAAAGTCTGTGAATCCCACACACGTGCAGTCAGCACGTCCCAGTTGCTGACCCCTGACCTCCAGTGTGAGGCAGCTCTGTGCCGGTCCTGTGCAGGTCCCACTTCTGTCACAGCTGTAGAGTATTCCACTGTGGCTATACCACAACCCATGTCCCCCTAGAGCGCTGACAGATCTGGGCTGTGTCTGGAGAGTAACAGGTGGCTGTGATCATGTACTTGCCTTGGTCCACCTATGCAAAGCTTTTTTTACTGTTAAATCCTGGGGCCAGACTGCTGGCTTACAGGGCATGCTCATTTTTACAATGCCAAGTTGCTTTCCAAAGTGACTGTAACAACCTTTACTGCCACTAGTGGTTAGGCAGTTCTGTTTGTACAGAATTACTAGTGAATTCTTAGGAATGAAATTCCAGTACTTTTACATGTGTGTTAAAGGACACAATAATCTTAAACTCATGATCCCCTGCCGAGTGCTGAGGGGTGTGTGTGTGTGTGTGTGTGTCTGTCTGTCTGTGAGTGTATGGTGTGTGTGTGTGTGTGTGTCTGTGTGTGTGGTGTGTGTGTGTGGTGTGTGTGTGTGTGTATACAGTGTGTGTATGGTATATTTGTGTGTGTGTGTGTGTGTGTGTATATACAGTGTGTGTATGGTATATTTGTGTGTGTGTGTGTGTGTGTATACAGTGTGTGTATGGTATATGTGTGTGTGGTGTGTGTGTGTGTGTGTGTGTGTGTATACAGTGTGTGTATGGTATATTTGTGTGTGTGTGTGTGTGTATACAGTGTGTGTATGGTATATGTGTGTGTGTGTGTGTGTGTGTGTGTGTGTGTGTTTTCTTAAGTTTAACTCTGACTTGCCTTCTATCTCACCAAGGCACTGAAAATGGAGCCAGCTGGCAGGTGGTGACAAGGGACTTTGGGAAGCCCCAGGCAAGGTGGAAACTTTTCTGCCAAATGGATGTGGGTAACAGCTTAACAGGGACTTCCCACTACTGAAAGGGAGCCCAACTCCCCAACTCTCAGGAAAGTGCTCCTCCTTGACAATTCCACAGCACCTGTGACTTCTGAATATGTCCCACTGGCCCAGGGTAACCTTTCTAAATGACAGCAGCTGAAGCAGCAGGCTAAAGACTTTCGTTCTGGGCCAGATAGAGAGCTCTCTCTCTTTCTCTCAAAGAAAACACTTCTGGACAGTTCTCAGCCGTAACAAAACTTACGTCACAGTTGGCACGGCCCCCATTCCCACATCTCTGCTCCCTCAAAGTCTGGAAGAAAGGGGAAAAGTGTCATGTGCTGGCTGCCCAAGCTCTCCCTCTGCCACTTGCCCTCTGTGCAGGGGAGCCTGCCCCCTACCACCATACCCTACCAGATGTTTGAACTCTGCAGACAGGCTGCCATTGTTGGACTCCTCCATGTTCATCACTTTCGTGTTTGTGCCCAGAATGTTAAATTTTCGAGACCTGAATCATGCGAGAAAAACCAACACATGCGTGATCACTGAGCGGCCAGAGGGTAAAGCTGGATGGAGTCGAACAAAGAAGACTGGAACTCACCCTCTGAGAGCAGCAACATCCCCAGAGTCCCTGTCAAGAACACAGATGAAGGTTAACAAAATGGAAGTCATCGACCCTACTTTTTTCCAGAACCAACTTTGACGGGAAATGCTTTTAGCTGTCCAGTAATGTTTTAGGGGTGAAATGAAACTCTACATGCACCTAAACAGTAGCCTCAGTTGGGCATCTACCCCACAGCTTCTTTGCCTTTCCTTAAAAACCCTCCATTCTGTTCAGCATGGGATGGCAGAGTCCATCCTACTTCTAGAGGAACCCTGATCACTACATTCTTCAGAACGGAGGAAGCCACAGAGCAGGTGAAGCCGGGGTCTGCTTTGTCTCAATCAGACCAAGGAAGGAATGGTGTCCTAGGCTGTTCTGCTCCACAGATGTGTGTGAGAAGACAAACAGCATTGGTTCACTGCTTCTAGAAGGCACAGAGCAGCCTGGAAGGGAAGCCCAGTCTACAGGTGATATACTAAGGATGGGACGGAGGGCTCTGGGTTCCTGAAGACACCTGTGACTCACTGACCTCATCATCAAGTACTTGCCCCAATTGCATTTCCAGTTACGCGGGTTGTAAATTTCCTCATTATTTAAGCCATGCTAGATTTTCCGTAAAGGTATGTTATTACCGACAACTCACAACACCTCCCATGATGCAGCTGGAAGCACTATCCCCATGTAACTACTGCTACCTCTGTCCCTTTCTGTGCCATCTTTTTATTTATGATATTACTGTTTTTATCTTCCTTTAGAGTACTATTTTAAAAGTTCTTCTCAGCCAGGCGTGGTGGCATATGCCTTTATTCCCAGTGCTGAGGAGGCAGAGGCAGGCAGATGTCTGTGAGTTCAAGGCCAGCCTGGTCTACATGGTAAGTTCCAGAACAGCAAGGGCTACCCAGCAAAACCCTATCTTGAAAAAAAAAAAAATCATATAAATAAAATTGCTTCTCCATTGTTATATATCTACCTACAAATAGAATGTTTTAGTGGGTTTGTAGAAGAAAACTGATCTTTAAAACAACCTTTCCAGGTGTTAACATTTTCAAATCAATTATCAGCTCTCCCTCATGTCTGAATCGTATCTTTTTTATATACTTTTTATTAGCTTTTATTTATAACTCATAATCAATAAAGTATACAATCTATGATGTAAAACCTTATGGGTCTGGTTTATAAGTCCTATACACGCATCCCAATCTCATACTCCACCCTACCCTAGCCCCAGAAAAACCATTATTGTGTTTTCTGTCACTATAGACTTATTTTCATTTTTAGAAATATATACATGCAAATATAAAACAGGCACTCCTTTGGGGGTTAGGAGACCTGGCTTCCTTCACTCAATATAACTACTTTGAAGATTTATTCATGTTTTGCAACTATCAGTAGTCCCTTTGATGGGGCTGGAGAGATGGCTCAAAGGTTAAGAGCACTGGCTGTTCTTCCAGAGAACGTTGGGTCATTTCCCAGCACCTACATGGCAACTCACAACTTTCTGTGTAATTTCAGCTCCAGAGGATACAATACCCTTACACAGATATAAATGCAAGTAAAACACTAATGCACATAAAATAAAAAGGAAATAACTAAAAAAATAGTTCCTAGTTCCTTTTGTTTTGGTGATGAACAGTGTTCCATTGTATGACAGAGTGCAAAGTGTCTATTCATTCCTGTTAGTGGACATGCATCTATATTTTTCATTTCTCTTGTGCTAACACCTATGAATGAAATGGCTGTGTTATATCATTGGTCCATGGTTTATTTTTTAAAATACTGTCAGACGAAGTGGTGGTGGCACTTTTCTGTATCACTGTATTACATTACACACCTGTGGTCTGAGGATGCTTTTACTAACATGTAAATATAGTAAATATGCCTAGGGTTTATTCTTTTTTATTTTTGGTTTTTCAAGACAAGGTTTCTCTGTCCTGGAACTAGCTCTGTAGATCAGGCTGGACTCGAACTCAGAGAGATCTGCCTACCTCTGCCTCCCGAGTGCTAGGATTAAAGGCGTGTGCCACCAATGCCCGGCAGCCTAGGGTTTATTCTAATAGTCCATAAATGGAAACCCTCACTTTTCACTCTGACCCATTTGAAGCTGTCCCACTGCCATCCATGCTGCCCTCTCTACCTACTTCGTGGGACTAGCTTTAACATGGGCTCATCTCTTATATTAACTTTGCATCTATTTCTAGACTTCAGATTTTATTACATTGATCAGTCAAGACATTTTTTGTCCTAGTAATATACCCAGTTAACAACTGGAACTCTAATGCATTGTAATATCTGGCAAGGCAGCTTCCTATACCCATGCCTCCTATTACTTTTATTTATATAAAAAAACTCTTTTGGAAATAAGTAGTGAGTGTCAGATATAAAGGGAAGGAGAGCAGCTGTTCAGGACAATGCTTCGGGTTTGCAAAGTGATTGCATTCTGGAGACCTGCTGCTTAGCAATGTGACTGTCCAATGCTACTGAACCATACACTTAGGAATGAAGACAGGGATGAGGAGATAGTTCAGTGGTAAAGCGTTTGGTGTACAGCATGAGAACCCTAGTTTGGATCCTCAGCATTACATAAAGTCTGAGTGCAGCATTGAATGTTTATAGCCCCAGTGCTGAGGGCTTCAGGGTCAGAGAGTGAGTTTCAGGTTCAGTGAGAGGCCCTGTCTCAAAAACTAAGGTGATCAATGATAGAGGAAGCCACTTCATGTGGACTTCTGTTCTACACATACACACATACACACACACAGAGAGAGAGAGAGAGAGAGAGAGAGAGGGGCTTACTTTTTTCAACTGATATAATTTGGCAAGTTTTATGTATGTATGTATGTATGTATGTGTTTGTTTATTTATTTATTTATATCTTTCCTTTTCTTTTTTCCTCAAGACAGGGTTATTCTGTGTAGCCCTGGCTGTCCTGGAACTCACTCTGTAGATCAGGCTGGCCTCAAACTCACAGAGATCTGCCTGCCTCTGCCTCCTGAGTGCTGGGTTTAAAGGTGTGCACCATAGCTGCCCAGCTACGTCTTTGTTTTTAAGGGTAGGAACTCAACCCAGGGCCTTGTACATGCTAGATATGTGCTCTAACACTAAGCCTTTTTTATTTTCACATTTGAGGCAAATTGATGAGTCTCTGAAAGGTTTTTGAATACAATTGTTCACAAAACAAAGATCCCTGAATGGAGACATCTCTAAAGTCAAATGTCTGTCAAAATTTTTGTTTTTCCATCCCTCATTTGCAAATAAGAGCTAATTTTAAGAATATTTACTTGTCATTGGCAGTCTACAGAATGGGAAAAGATTTTTACCAGCTACACATCTGATAGAGGGCTAATATCTAGAATATATAAAGAACTCAAGAAACTAGATATCAAGAAAACAAATAACCCAATTTAAAAAATGGGGTCTAAACAGAGAATTCTCAATAGAGGAAACTCAAATAGCTGAGAAACACTTAAAAAAATGTTCAACATCCTCTGCCATCAGGGAAATGCAAATCAAAACTACTTTGAGATTTCATCTTACACCTGTCAGAATGACTAAGATCAACAAATTAAGTGACAATTCATGTTGGTGAGGATGTGGAGTAAGAGGAACACTCACACATTGCTCGTGGGAGTGCAATCTCATACAGACACTATGGAAATCAGTGTGGCAGTTCCTCAAGAAGATGGCAATCAATCTACCTCGTGATCCAGTGATACCATTCTTGGGCAAATACCAAAGGATGCTTAATCCTACCATAGACACTCTTGCTCAACCATGTTCATTGCTGTTCTTTTCATAATAGCCATAAATTAGAAATAACCTAGAAGTCCCTCAACAGAAGAATGGATAAAGAAAATAGGGTACATTTACACAACTGAGTATTAATCAGTTGTTTAAAAAGAAAATGACATCATGAAATTTGTAGACAAATGACTGGAACTAGGAAAAAAAAAAATCATCCTGAGTGAGGTATCCCAGACCCAGAAAGACAAATACAGCATGTATTCACTTATATGTGGATATTAGCTGTTAAATCAATGATAACCAAGCCACAATCCATAGACCCACAGAATGTAGGTATAGAGAAAGGAGCTCATTTGGAAAGGGAAATAGGCAGGGCAGTGGTGGCGGACACCTTTAATCCCAGCACTAAGAAAGCAGAGGCAGGAGGATCTCTGTGAGTTCGAGGCTTTCAGTTTAGTGTTTTTAAGGGATTCCTGAGTGTGCAAACAATGGGTCTTGATTCTTGTGCCCTCTCTTAGACTTTTTTCCTTCTGTTGGTTTTCCTTGTCTACCTTCAATGTGATAGTTTTTGTTTTATTTGTTATATTTTATTTTGTCAAATTAAAAAAAAAAAAAATGAATGACTGAATGTAAACCTAGCCACTAGGGTACAAGATTAACACTAGAATTGTCATGTATTCTTACTGAAGAGGGAAAAATCAATTTTCTCCAATGGAATGACACTGGGTAGTTCAATCACTCCAAGACAGGCCTCATGTTCAGGAGTAGTTGCCTAACAAATAATGGACCTGATCATTTTTATGTGTACTTTTTTGTTTGGTTGTGGTTTGGTGGGCTTTGAGTTTTGCTTTGTTTTATTTGTTTCTTTTGAGGTGTTGTATTTTGTTTTGTAGGTTTGGGGTTTGTTTTTGAGAAAAAACTTAAAGTTGGATGGGTGGGGAGAAGGGGCAGCTCTGGATGTACTTGAGGAGAATATGCTCAAAAGATATTCTAATTTAAAAATTGTTTTAAAATAATAAAGGATACTTACTTGTCAATACATACTTTAATTTTAAGCTGATAATTCAACTCGGGAAATTTGACCAGCAACCTATAAAAAACATATGGTCAAGGACAGTTAGTAGGCTCCTTACCATGACCTCCAGTTTACAAAAATATAAAACCCCTAATAATTAAATTCCTAAGAAGTAAATATATTTCTGGGTGTGGTGGCACATGCCTTTGATCTGAGCACTCAGGATGCAGAGGCAGGTAGATCTCTGAGTTCAAGGTCAGCCTTGTCTACAAAGTGAAAAACCCTCTCTAGATATAACCTATATATATTCACAAACCCCAATTCTATCTCCACCCAGAGTCATCTTTTATATTAAAGCTGAACACTGACTCTTCAGCCAAGAAGTACTAAAAAATGCTTAAGAATGTGAACCAAGCTATAAGAGACTCACGAAAAGGTAATAAAAAGCATTTAATGAGAAATATTGCATGAACATGCTCTGCAGCTGGTATTCCTTAGGTGAAATCCCAAAACCCAACACAGCTATTTCTGAAGGAGATTTCACTGTAGAGGGGCAACCCTCCATACCTGTGATTCAATGTGAGCAGTGAGTGGCTTCACCTCCACCTCAGCTAGCCTATCACTGAGCCTTACTCCTCCCCTTAAAATCCCTAAGGAGAGGACTGGACATCTATAAAAATTCCACCCAAAGTGTGAAGACCAGGGCCCACCTGACTTTAGTAGTGAACTGGACACCAGTCTTGATGACAAGGGGCCTGTCAGGGTGCATGGGCATGCAGGGCTGCCGCTCTACCACGAAGGCACTACAAGAGAAAGGAATAGCATGTCACACGCTGGGCTGACCAGGGAAGGGACAGCACGTCACACTGTGCTGACCAGGCTTCTTCCTGCTCTTTGCTTTTTAAGGTTACCTTTTCATTAGGTTTCTGAACAGCTCCACAATCCTCTCCTCCAGCATTGGCCTGTGCTGCACAATAGGATCCCCCTTGTAGGACACTTTTTGCTGCAACTCCTCCAGTTTCTTAATTTGTTGGCGGGTCTGAAGTTGAGACTCTGCTAATGAAGTTATCCTGCCAATAATGAAAGGCAGTTCCCAGTTACCTCTGTTGTCTAGCTGTAACCCCAGCATTCAGGAGACCAGAGCAAAGGGACCTTGAGCCTGGGCTGCATAGTGACTTCAGGGCCACTTTGAGCTATGCAGTGAGACCCTGTCTCATCAAAAAAAAAAAAAAAAAAAAAAAAAAAAAGGGGGGGGGGGAGGGAGAGGGAGGGAAAAAGGGCCCTAAAATAATGGAAGGGGATACACAGAGCATAAGAATGGCCCCTTCAATAATTTGAACCATATAGCTCAGTTGAGGAAGGGTTAAGGCTTACATCACTAGGAGGTGGGGGCATTAACGAAGCTGTCAGTGGATTATAAATGAATTTGAGACTAAATATGAAGAATGCTTGTATCCCCTTTCCCCATCCTAGGGCTTGAGCTAGCGCTGCCATTCACAACCTGCACAAGGGTGGTCAGGCCCCTGCACTATGTGATCCCTGAAAGAAGACCAGAGTTGAGCCTCACCCATTCAATGCCACCCTTCCATGAATCATAAAAATACAACATGATACGTCAGAATGTTGATGATATGTATATAAGAAAGGCGAGGAGAGGGGCTGGGGAGACAGACAGTCCATGAATAGTACTTGGGGCTGCTGCAGGGGACCCGGGTCTGGTTCCCAGCAGCACCCATGTTCAGCAGCTCACAACCATCTGTAACTCCAGTCCCCGGAGTTTTGTTGCCCTGTCCTAGCCAACCTGGACACTGCACACCTATACAAAGAAGCAGGCAAGCACACACTAATAATTCTTTGTTTACAAAAGGAAAATAGTACTTAGAAAAGCTAGGCATGGTGGTGCATGCCTTTAATCTCAACAGTTGGAAGACACAAGCAGGCAGATTTCTGTAAGTTTGAGGCCAGCCTGGTCTACATAGTGAATGGGTTCCCAGGGCAGCCAGAGCTATATAAAAGCAAACAATTAGAAAAAAAAGAAAAAATGGGCAGAGAGGGAGAAAAAGCTGATTAATTCTGCCCCCAAGAAAAGGGAATATCAGTGTTTCTCTTCCCTTTCTAAATCTAATGCCTCTCCTTTATGGTTTACCACTAGTTTAATAAAGGTAGAAAGTGAATGGAGGACAGTTGCAGGGATCTGAGCTCCTGGCCTGTCCTTTCCTGCCATCTGAACGTCTCAGCCCCAGAACGTAACTTCTTGGAGCTCTGATCCGGAAGCTTTTCAGACTGCCTTCAGTAAATGAACAGCAATCAGTGATGGTGACAATACAGACATGCTTGTCACATGGACCTGTCCTGAGTATCCGGCTTCGTGCTCCATGGAGCGGGCACCCTGTCCTGCCAAGCTTCTTCTAGTTTAAGGTGGTGGGGCACACTCACTATGGAGCCTTGCACACGATGCTAGATGGACAGTAAACAGCAGATAACAGATGAGCACATAGAGAACAAACTGGGCCCAGGGAGAGCTCAGGGGCTGAGCACTGGCCTTGTGTGCACAAGGCCACATGAGCCATCCTTCCCATCGTATGGAAGGAAGGAAGAAAATGGAGCAGCTGCTTCCTGAAACTGGACTTCTAGACTCACATGTACAGGCATGACAGATGTCTACAGAAAAGATTGTCACAGAGTCTGGTACCACTGAATAGACTTGAATTTTTTCTTTCACTTTATTAATTTTGTATATTTCAAATTTACCTCCTTAACAAAGAACATATAATGTTTTAGATTAATAAAATAACTAAAATGGAAAATTTAGTGTTAAATACATCTAAAAATATTACTTAAATTTAAAAATTAAGTGTATTTAAAATGAGTGATATAAGCATTTTTTTAATTTAAAAATTTGTTAAAATTGGTTAAGAGTTTTAACTCTTGGACTACATTTGAGTGTGTAAAAGAAGCTACCTTAAGGCAGGCATGGTGATTCATGCCTAAAATCCCAGATACTTGGGAAGCTGAGGCAAGAGGATTGCAGTTCAAGGTCAGCCTGGCTCGATAGTGAGTTCAAGGCTGGCCTATGCAGCTCAGTGAGAGTCTTTCTCAAAATGGAAAAAAAAAAAAAAAAAAAAAAGTGCCCATCTTAGCAATAGCGTATCCAAGGCTAGGAGTATAGTGTCTAGTACATGTCCAAGGGATGGATTCCTACTCCCGCAATGAAAAGAAGAAACAAAAGCACGAGGAAGGAAGGCCCACTCTGCAGGCCTTTGACTAAACCCAGTTCTCTAGGAGAGAGAAGCCTTCCTTCCAACTCTTACCAGTTTTCCAGGCGATCCAGGCAGATGTTGGGAGGGCCTCCAATGCACGCAATCTGCTGTCGCCTCTTCCAGTCAGCCAGTTCTTCGTCTGTGAGTGTTTTCTGCACATACTCCATTGCCGACAAAAGCCCAGCCAGTTCACTCACGATGCTCTGTTTGGAAACCAACACAGTCAGAAGACATTTCCCCAGACCATGTCTAACCACATTATCTAGTCTGATCAGAGAGGGGACCCTTACAACAAGTCAAGTCTTCCCACGGGAGGTGTGTGGCACTGGGGAAGCTGTCCCAGAAGCTGTCCAGAATGCTTACCCTCCGCATCTGGTCCAGTGCTGTGAGCATCTGTTCCAGCTGCTGCATCTTCTGCCTGGTCACAGACTGGTTGTTTCCATTCAGATCCTGCATGTCTAATAGGGGAGGAAAGACCCCTTGACCAGGGAGAATACTCAGTGCAGCCTTCTCAATGAATCTCCAAACCCTGTGTGCACATGCAGCCTGAGAGCTGAGGGAAGATGGCAGCAGGCGCAAGGTCATCCCGCGCTACATGGTCAAATACCATCTCAAAAACAAACAAAAGGTTGCCCCACTAAGTGCCAGAAGCTCCCCTTCTCCTACCATGCAGTCACATGAATGGAGTCAGGTCCTGAGACTCAATGACACAGCCTAGCTTTCAACAAATCTTAACGTCTCTAACGGCCACTTGCCTCCTTGACTCTTGAGGGTTTTATAGTTGAAATCAAAGTCATCCTGAAGATTCTCTACCACTTTCATTTTCTGTTCTAGATCCTGTTTAAACAAACAAACCACAAACAGAAGTCAAAAAGAGGGTTCCTTCAGGAGAGGGAACAGAAAGTTTAGAAGATAATGAAAATGTGCACGAAGGACTACACTCTATAGCCCTAGCACAGCTCCCCGGGTGAGGCCTGGTCACCTGCACGCGCTTCCGGACATCCTGGAGATGCTGTTCCAGCATCTGCTGCTTCTCCGTCACCACGGCAGCTGTGGGGTGGTTGGCCTGGCCCCCTTGCTGCCAAAAGGGGATTAAGACACCGTGAATTCATGGAAACCCGTCATCTGATTGCCATCCCAACCTGTTACCTGTCCTGTTGGGAAATGGGCAGTGATGCAAGAGGGGAGGGTGCTGGGAAAAACCCCTGGGTCATTCCATCTCTGTCACTGGCTTTTTACCAACAGGAAACACTGTAAACCCATTCTCCGCACTAAACCAGGAGCCCACATATTGAACTAAGACATTTTCCCAGTCTTCAAGTGCTCATGGGTAAATTGTCCAAAAAAATTTAATAATAATAATAATAATAATAATAATCCAGAAAGAAATTGGGGTACAGTTCAGTAGTAGAGATTATGCTAGCTAATAAATAAATAAATTCAAAGTAGTTGACGACAGCATAGTGCAATATAGTTCCATGGGGACCTGGGGGGGGATAATTTTCCAGGGATTTTCAAAATTGTGTTTCCATAGCTTCTGTCAGGGAGAAGAGGTTGCTGCCTTGAGAAGGTCAATTAGGAAGCAAAACATAAAATGACAGACTTTGCAAGGAACAGAAAGAGACATTTGATGATAGAAAAGACAAGTAAAAGCTACAAGAACAAGGCAGTCCTTTTGACAGTGGCCCAAGGATAAAGACAGCAATCTTGGAGAAAGCAGAGCCAGGAAGGAGAGATGTTATCCATCCAGTTTTCCAAGCCAGAAATTCTCACACCCTAAGTCCACACTCTGATGGCTCACATCCATCACACCTGTCAAGGGCTCAAATCAGGCCCCAACTGCTTCTCTTTTTACTTTTATTTCCTTTTGTCTCCTGTTCTTTAGGTTTATTTATTTTATGTGCATGAGTGATTTGCCAGCATGTATGTACATGCACCTCATCTGTGCCCGGTGCCTACAGAAGGGTTTCCTGGAACTGGAGTTCTGGACGGTTGTGAGCCACCTTGTGGATACTGGGAGCTGAACCCAGTTCTGCTTCGAAAGCAGAAAGTGTTCTAGACCACTGAGCCAGCTCTCCAGCCCATTGTTTGCTCCTAAGATCTCTCACTTCCAGCCTGCTTTCTCCACTGCTGCCACAAGTCTCCACGGCAGGACCGAACAGGCCAATTTTAGAGAGACTTTCCTCTCATGTCTCCTGGCTGCTCAAACCATAGAATACAACCCAGCCCCGGCATTTCTCTCCATCATGGGAGTGACTGGCTGATAAGATGCAAAGAAGTACCACAGACAGAGACTTTGAAAGGGCCCAGCCCCAAGGTGTGCCTTTCCCATCTCTAATTCCTACATTCGCCTGAGGCAGAGATGAAAGCCAAGTCTCTAGAAGCAGTTTCTGTGGTCAGCCAGCCGTGGTCCATATGGATGGATGGCAGACTCGCAGGTTCAACCTCAGACAGAGGTCAGGCATTAGGAAGCCCCTGTGGACCAGGCATGACAGCTCACATATTTAATACCAACACTTGGGAGGCTGAGATAGGAGGATCCTGTTGATCCTGTCTCAAAAGCAAGCAGAGCATGGGGGGGGGGGGGGCCTGTGCCTGAAATCTCAGTGACTAGAGAAACTGAAGCAGGATTACCATGAGTTTGAGACAGCCCAGCCTACACAGTGAGTTCTAGGTCAGCACGGGATATAGAATGTGATTCCATCTCAAAAATAAATAAATAAAATAAAAATTGAAAGTGAAAGCAAGAGAAAGGTGTGTGGGAAGAGTAGTGGCAGCACCAGTAATCCCAGCACTGGGTGACAGAGGCAGGAAGACTGCCTCAAACTGGAAGTCAGCTGTTCTACGCAGCAGTGACTCAACAACAACAAAAACCCAGGGGCTGGGGATACAGCGCCCACGCCTGTCTAACACGCACAGGACCCTGGTTCTGTCCTGAGCACCACATATACAGGATATGGTGGTGTGCACCTCTAATCCCAGCACTCAGGAGGAGGCAGGCGAATCAGAGTTCAAGTTCATCCTCAGTTAGGGGGTGGGGTGGAAGGGCTTGTGTGCGTCTTTGTTTTGTTTTCTGTCATTTTCAATGTATAGCTAAGGCTTTGATCTAGTTCACTGTTTCCTTCTCAGCCATTTTAACCATTACTATTTCACTGCACTATACAGTTGCTTGCTTCCTGAGTCCCCCGCCCTACACTTGGCTTCTCAGTCTTACCTGGGCTGCCGTGGCTGCCGTCTGGAGGAGGCGAGACTCTTCCCACAGGCACCGGGCCACAATCCGGGCAATTTCCATGGGCTTCTCAAGATACCTGCTCTGTAAGTAAGAGAGAGAGTGGAATGCTGTAGCCAACCAAGGAGGTATAGACTGAAGTTGGCTAGCTTAGAACTCACGTCGGCAGAGCCTCCACGAAACAGCAGACCAAAGGCTTCATAATCTGACTGAAACCCATAGGGAGAGAAAGGGAGGAGAATGGTGGCCACAGCAATGGCAGAACCACACTAGTCATCCTGAGACGCATGCTATCTGGTTTTATAGGGAAGTGGTCGACTTCACCCAGAAGTACTCAATTAATGGCCGAACTTTAACATTCAAAACTAAGAGTCACGTGGCTAGGATGAGTAGGTGTTATTAGCATGCGACTATAACATAGAATGACATTAAGCCCTTGCTTTATTGCGTCAACTGTAACATGAGAAGTGAATTTCCGGTAATGGTACCCCAGGGCCAGTGTACAGGGAATTGAGGAGGAGCTAATTACTTTTCCTCTGACTGAGAGTACAAGTCAGGCTCTCATCATTTAGCCAAGTGAGGAAAGAAAGACTTCCGGGAAAGAACACTACTACTCCACTCTGTGGGGCCTGTATCTCCCACTCAGTTTCCCATCGCACCTGCAGGAACTGCTTGATTCTTCGCAGGTTGTGCTGATAGAGGACATTGGACTCCTGAAGGAAGCGGCTATACTGCTGGTCAATCTCACCCAAGAGATTATGAAACACCAACGTGGCATGTGACTCTTTGCTGGCTGCATATGCCCTAGGAAAAGGAAGTGTGTGGCATGAGGAATTTGGAGAGCCTGGTGTGATAGCATATGTCTGCAACCATGGCTCTCTAGGGAGCTGGAGGCAAGAAGATCAAGAGTTCAAGGCCAGCCTTCCCTACCAAGGGAGTTCCAAGCCAGTCTGGGTAACCTTGTCTCAAAAACAATAGCAACAGGAATCTAAAACATACATATGTAAAAACCACCATTGTAGACAGAGCTTCTGTCCTGTCTTGTCCTGCTGCCCTCCAGTCTGAAATAAACACACCGAGGCTTATATTAATCATAAACTGTTTGGCTGATGCAATGATTCAGGCTTTTTACTGGCTAGTTCTCTCTTAGTTATTAATCCATTTGTACTAAACTATGTATTGCTATGAGGCTGTGGCTTACCCATAATGCTTCAGCATGCTACTCCTCTGGCAGCTACATGGGGTCTCCTTTTTCACTCCCTCTCTGTCTTCCTCTTTCCCGAATTCTCCTAGTCTGGTAACCCTGCCTATACTTCCTGTCAGTCAATTGGCCGAAACAGCTTTATTCATCAACCAAAAGAGAAACATATATTCACAGCATACAGAAGGACATCCCCCATCACATCATCAAGGGGTGGGTGAGAGGTGGGAGGGGAACTAGGGAAGATCTGAGAGGAGTTGGGGGAGGGGAAACTGTAGTCAGAATATATTGTATTTTTTTAAATCTATTTTTAAAAATACTGGACATGGTAGCACATGCTTGTAATTCCAGCACTGGGAAGACAGAGATATATGGAAGGACCCCTGAGGGTCTGCCCTAATAGGTGAGCTCTAACCCAATGACACACCCTATCTCAAAGGACCCAGAAGGCATTCCCAAGGATAAAACCTGAGACTGTCCACTGGCCTACACCACACACACACACACACACACACACCGTACTTGCATATATGTGCACTTCTGCATCTATACAAACATACATATATAAACATAAATTTTTTTTAAAAAAAGAACAGATAAGGTTGTTTTGCCTTAAATTCCCCATCATCCCTGTGGTCAGACTGGTATATATAAATTCTTATTAACATAATCAGCACTGCCAGGCTGGGCTGCTCTGTGTCACCTCTTTGACCCTTCACTAAATTAGCATAGGTATTCTAGAAGAAGTAGATCACATTAATATAGGCCTGAATACATTAAAGTAAGGTAAATAGCTGGCATCGTTTCCTCTATGACTCTATTTCCCTTACCCGGTGTCTCTCCTTTAATAGGGGAAAGCCACGTGTGTGGTGGAGTCCAACTTCTACCTGAGACAAAATTCTCAGATTAAAAATCTATATCTCAGTATTAGAGAGTCAAAATGCAGAGATCTCACCAAGTAAGCGAGACACAAATCTGACTTCCAAACACCTACCAGTAAGCTGTCTCAGTGCACTGAAAGCCAGGACCCATACACTCTTCAGACACAGAGAATGTGTTAAGAACTAACAACCTCTGCTCTCCTGACCTGCCCCCAGCACCTGCACTCATGTCCTTGATGAAAGGGTTAGTGGAGTGTCACGCTAGAAAAGGTTGTGTCCCCTAACTCCATCCCAAACTTCCCAGTCAATGGAGTGTCCCAAAGCAGACTTACCAATCTTGACTTTCAATCCAAGGCGCCAGGAACTGCCGAAGCTCCATGGGGAAGCTGTCGCTATAGAGCTGGTGCAGCTGCTCCAAGTACCGAGTGTCCAGCTGTTGCAGCTGGTTCCATTGGGCCATCCTGACGCAATCAGGGGGCGGAACTGTAAGCCAGAATGTATGTATGGTCACCACAAGCCCTCATAGAGGATAAAGAGTCTGCAAATATCTCAGCAGCTTTGAGAAGGATCTTGTATGGCTTTTGTAGTCTTTTGAATAATACAGTTCCTACCACCACAGCTCTCCCTGGCCCCTGATGCTGGGGACTGAACCCAGGACCTAGCACATGCTATGTGGTTCTCCACCACTGAGTAAATCCCCAGGCCCTTGATATTTTGAAACAGGGTCTCAGGCTAGCCTTGTTATCTATCTCCCACCACTTCTGCCTCCTAACTGCTTGGATTTCAGGCATGAGCTACTACCATACTTGGCATCACAATTCCTTTAAAATTGCAATCAGGCGTGATTCCAAGCTCTAGAATCCATTCTCAAGCCAGGCACAGTGGCTCCTGCCTGCAATTCCAACACTTTAAGGATAGTCTGATGAAGAGTTCAAGGCCAACCCTGAGCTCTCTCTATATGTACATAGTAAGACCGACTCTCAAAAAAAAAAAAAAAAGAGGGCGGGGACACAGAGACGTCGCTCAACAGTGTAGCACACTTGTTACTCTTGCAGAGGACCCAGCTTCAATTTCCAGCACCCACATGGTGGCACACAGCCATCCATAACCCCAGCTCCAGAGGCTCTGATCTGACACACTCTTCTACCCTCTGAGGGCAGCAGAAAGGCACATAGCACACATACATACATGTGGGGAAACCACTCATACACATAAAATAAAACTAAAAGAATTAAAAAAAAAAAAAACCTGACCAAACAACAACAAACCTATTGTCTACCAGAGGCTAGTGAGGTTAACAAATTGGTATGTGAAGCTGAATAGTTCCTTTCTTCTGGGTTTCTATTTTCTCATCTATAAAATGAGATCATTATTCTACCCCTCAGGGCCACTGAAGTAGTATTTCTAAAGCTCTCGTGACTAAGAGCACAGCACCCAACAGATGTTCAACACATGCCAGTTCCTTCCACACCACACTGCGTTCAGGCCATCTGTGAGGCTACACAAAGTACCCTGCACCGAAGTCAAACTGCAGACTGCGTGCTGAGGAAGCACAGAGAGCTGCAGGGTTACAATGGTAAGTGCCAGGTGCCTGGGATTTGCCAACTCGATAAAAGGAATTTAAAAAAAAAAAAAAAAAAAAAAAAAAAAAAAAAAAGATTCTAAATCTGGGTTAAAAAAAAAAAAAAAAGTAGAACTAAATACCACGTTAAAAAGTTGATCCTGGGATGGGGACTAGTCCACTGAAATGCTCAGCTGTAAGAAAGCAACTCAGCTAGCCACTCATGAAAATGTCTCTCTAGAACAAGTAGTCTTAAGATCTAAAAATAGCCCTGAGTAAGAAGAGCCCAAGATTAGGGAGTGGTATGCGTACAGCAAACACTAGCTGGCATAAAAGCGCACAGCCTGCCAGAGCCCATGTTCCAGCCTGGAGCTCTGTGACTGTCTATGTAGTGCCCCCAGTAAGAAACCAAATGCTATGAGGACTCTCTGACACAAAGACCAAGTCAGAATCAGCGTCCTCACAGGTTAAAAGCATCACTGCTGTCCTGTGTTTTTCAGGACCCTATTTGCACGCAATCCTCAACAAGCTGGGACTGGGAAGATGGCTCAGTTGGAAATGTGCTTGCCTCACAACTGTTGAGGAGCCGAGTTGATTCCCAGAACTCACACATTAATAAAAAGCTGGGTGTGGTGATATACACCCATAATCCCAGTGACGGCAAGATGGCGGAGATCGGTGGACCCCTGGAGTTCAATGGCCAGCTAGTCTAGCCTACTTGGCAAAGTTTCAGGCTAATGAGAGTCACTGTCTCAAAGCCAAAGGTGAAAGGAATGATATCCACGGTTGTCCTCTGACCTAGACACACACACACACACACACACCTACACATGCATGAGCACGCACACAAAGAAAATCTATATGCCAATTATGTCAATGCCACTGCACAGGTTTGCCTTGAAGCACAAGACTCCATTGTTTGGCATAGAAGATACCAACCGCACGTGGCCCCTGAGCAGTGGAAATGCGGATGATTCACACCCTCATAGGCTGCATTTGAAAACAGTGAGTGAAAAAAAATGTGCAAATACCAATGCTGAAACATTATTTTAGAAATGTTGGATTAAATACATATATTAAAATTATTTTGCCCATTTCTTTTTATGTTTAATACAGCTACTAGAAAACAATAGGCTGTGCATGATAGCACCTATCTTTAAGCCTAGCATTTGGGGGCACTAATTTTGATAGGTGTAGTGGCACTTTTTATCCCAGCACTCAGGAGGCAGAGGCAGGTGGATCTCTGTGAGTTCAAGGCCAGCCTGGTCTATGTAGTGATTCAGGACAGCCAGAGCTGTTACACACAGCAACCCTATATCAAGAAAGGGGAAAAAAAAAAAAAAAAAGACTAGTATTTTTGTCTTGGCCCAATCAAGGTAAGCAATACTGTCAAACTATTCTACATGAAGGAAAATTATTCTGAATTAACGGCAAAGAGCAGGTGGTATTTCCAGGGAAAGAAAGCCTGGGTGTTTGGATGACATGGTTTAGCCCTGAGTGTCCAACAGCTATGTCCTTACATGCTGCTTAGCTGAAAACTGTGTTAATTAACAGACAGCACAGAGCAATTGGACCAAATGTTCTTTACAAGAGCCGAAGATCCATTAGTGCTAACTAGCCAAACTGTCTAGGAAAACCATTGCCAACTGGCAGTAATTGTTTTACTGGAAAACATTAAAAAGAGTCACTTTACAATCTCAATTCTGTTTTTCAGATTTAGATTTAGAGGCTGAGGACCTTGCTTGGTAGTGCAGTGCTTACCCAGCATCTTCCATCATCAGCATCACAAACACCAACAAAAACAAAAAGCCCAGATTAGCCTGAATGACTCCACAGGGAGATCTTTTTTGAGCAGGGACTGGCTATGTAGCCTAGGCTGGCCTTGAACTCATTGATCTCCCTGCCTCAGTCTCTGAGTCCCAGAACTATAAGTTCTAACTAAAGCTTTTTGTCTTTAAAAGCACTTGAAGCCTGCGTTTTAATAACCACTTCACCAAACACCAGAGCACATGAAGTGATCTGCCCAACAATTTGAATGCCAAGTACCATCCTGAATGGCTGAAGAGAAACCACATCATTGCTACAGTGGCTGGATTAGAACATGACATAGGCTTCCTGCTCTGCTGGCTTTCATGAGGATTGGTGAGTAGATCATCAATGTAAACATACAAAGGAAGGAAAGGCAAAGTGTGTGTGGTTCCTTGAATGAGAACAGCCCCCATAGGCTTGGCTGTTTGCACGGTTGGTTATCAGTTACTGATAACTGATTAAGAGGTGTGGCCCTGTTGGAGTAGGTGTGTCACTGGAATTGGGCTTTGAGGCTTTAAAAACCCACATCAGGCCCAGTCTCTCAGGATGTAAAGGTCTCAGCTATTGCTGCAGGGCCATGCCTGTCTAATTCCTGTCACGATGACCATTGACTGACCCTCTAAAACTATAAGCAAGCCCCCAATTAAATGCTTTCTTTAATAACTTGTTTGGGTCATGGTGTCTCTTCACAGCAACAGAACAGTAACTAAGATAGTGTGATCCTGTTTTCTTTTTTTTAAAAAAAGATTTATTTTTATTTTATGTATATGAGAGTTTTGCTTGCATATTATATATCTGCACTGTGTGTATGCCAGCACAGACCAGACATGAGCATTGAATTCCCTGGAACTGGAGTTATAGGTGGTTGATGAACAGCAACGTGGGTGCTAGAAAACGAACCTACAAGAACAATAAGTGCTCTTAACTGCTGAGCCAACTCTCTATCCCCCAGTGATCCTAGGTTCTATAACAAAAGAGAAAAGGAAAATGAAACACTAAGTCACCAAAGACTTTCTAGACTTCTCAAAACAGGAATTTCTTAGCCCCTTGGGGATAACTTACCAACAGTAAGTCATAAGGAAAATAACTCGAGTCTAATGAGGAACTTCTTACCGGAAAGATTACCATTAAAGGAATGTCCTCATTTGTATAGTTCAGTAGAGAGAAACCAAGGGAACTATAGGGGAATATACACAAAAGAGGTTTATCACACAACCTGGTAAACTTTCTAAGCTAAGGCCTGTATCCCACATGTATGGACCTATGATAGAGGAGATGGAAGATGGAGAGAGGTACAAAATTCAAATGTATACAAAAACCGGCAATACAAAGTGATACAAAGTAATTTCTGAAGATGGGTATAATGGGACTTGCCCATAATCCCAGGACTTGGAAGGCAAAACTGGAGGCTCAGGAGTTTAAGGCCTGCCTCAGCTACACAGTGAGTTCAGTGCCAGCCTGACCTACATGGGACCCTATCTTTTAAAAGGAAGACAATTCCTGCTCCATTTTGCAATGTGTCAAAAACAAAAACAAAAACAAAAACAAAACAAAACAAAACTTCTTTAGAGGCCATGTGTGCAGCCCTGACTGGTCTCAACCTCACAAAGACTTGCCTACTCATGCTTCCTGGACGCTAGGACTAAAGATGTGAGCCATCATGCCCAACATGTTAAGGGAAAGAAACAACTGAAGTGTTAATCACTGCTGATGTGGACTATGCACCATATTTGACCTGAAATATTTCAGATTAAAGGAGCAAGAGCCTAACAAACTTTTGGGTTGAAAGTGACACAGACAGACAAGCTTTGTCAGCCACTAAGCACGGTGTATGTTCAGAGCTGCCTAAGACAACAGAGACTAAGTTTGCATAGAAGGTCACCTCCCCAGGTTGTGACTCTTCCAGTCCCCCAAGCAGACATATTCCCTCTAACTTATGTGATAAGAGGCAAAGGGACCAGAGGCTTGGGTACAAACACTGCCTACCACATAGGATCTGCTTGGGGAAACACAACTTGACCAGTGAACAGGTCTCTGTCCGCCCTGGAAGAATGGTTCTAAATTTAGGTGACGTCATGGGTGAACAGTAGCCTTCCTGCAGCGCCAGGTGTTC